GGACCTGCCTGTGTCTGTGCTGTGCAGGTTCTGTGACAGGAGATGCTATGCTGTGTGTGGGGAAAACATATATGAAACCACCTCCTCCTGCAAATGAGACTTGTGGTTGTTTCAGAATAATAATTTAAAAAACCCAGATGTGGACTGATGGTAAAAAACAAAAAACAAAAAACCCTTCCAAAAAAAATTAAACAAGGATTACAAGTTAATGCAGCAATGCAGTATCCTTCACTGTTGAGAGTGACATTTCGTATTCTGTTCTCTGTTGTGATAGATGAAAGCACACTTCATAATATGTTTTGGCATTATGATAATATCTAGGCATGTGATTTTTCTAGCATTGCACGTTATGACAGACATTACTTATAAGTTGTTCAGGTTCACTGGTATCTTAATTGATTCAAGAACAAATTTTGTGGCTGTTTTGTGTGTGTTGTGTATTCTGTGGACAACCAGTGTTACTTTTCTTCAGCTATCTTCTAAACACAGTTTGTAATGCTGACTAAATGCTTTGTTTTTTTCCACTCTCCTTTAAGAAAAAAAACCCAAACTAACAAACAGGCAGCCAACAAACAAACAGTAATTACAGAGGTATGTAATTTCAAATTGCAAGGAAAGCTGGCGAGTTGGAAGTCTGAAGATTGCTGAAGCCAAGAGTTTAAAATGAACGTGAGGCAGTTTGGTGCCATACATCTGCTACCTTTCTCACTTCTGCTCCCCTCTGCTTACGTACTTAATGTTAGTAAAGAAGTCCTGAGGACTTTCTGCAAGTTTCTAGGTGTTTTCTTGAGGAAATGGGCTGTTCTCTCAGTATTTTTCAATACAAAACTTTTCTTTTTGATATGTATGCATACCTGCCTCTCAGGTAACTCAATACTGCTCAGTTAGATGGTAGTGAAAGCAAGTTTAGCACCATGTTTACTGTCTGCTTGAAGGTGCTGGAAATATTTACAGTGAGATCCAGGATACATCTTATTTATGTCACCTCTTGCCATAAGTTTTATGAATTCCCAGCTATTTGATCAGCATTACCTTAATTTGATCCCATATTCATTCTAGTTTGGATTTATTTGGTTTTATTCAACATGATTACAGAAGCAGTAAGATAAAAGTTGGTCTGGAATTTCTGCCTTTCAGCTGTATCTGCAGCAGCCCGGTGCTCAGCTGTGTGTTAGCTGAACAGAGATCACAGTTCAGTCCCATGATACAGCACATGTTTGACCAATGGAGTGAGTTTCTTAGATAAGAGTGTGTGTATGGTTACATAAGAAGTGGTAACTTATTAGCAGACAGTTCCTTGAATAGACAAGCTAAAGGACGTTCTTGAGTACAGAAAGTCTTTCTACAAATGTTTTAAAGTTATTTTATTGGTTGTTTGAGACATAGGCAGATAGGGCTGCTCCATGGCAGTGCTGGCATGCATGTTCCTGCCATGGTTTCTCTTGTTTCTGCCTGTTTTCAGGCTTGCTGAAACTATCCGTGGTTGTTCTTTGCCCAGATGGAAATCTCAGCTTTTTGGAAAACTGGAGGCAGTTGGGAAAGAATATATAGCCCTCTTATTTCTAAATGAAGGACAAATAAGATTGGAAAATCTTTTCCTTCAAAAACTGTTGCCTGTATTGAACTACAGTGTGGTATAAGCAAAGATTTGAAAGCTGGAATATGAGATGCCATAGAAGGTGATATCACTTCTAAATTTGAAACTGAGGTCTATGAAATCTGCGTTACCAGCCTTCCACAGAAGTCATAGTCTGAAATATTCTGTTTATTTATTTATTTTTAATCCAGATCAGTTTCGTGATTCAGCTGTTTAATTCGATAGAAAAAGGTTGTTAGATGAGCTGTTGGGTTGGTATGCAGCATTCGAGTATTAAGTATTTAGGATAAGTTTAAACTTAGTTTTGTGACATACATGCTATAACTGAGAATCCTTCAGCAGTATAAAGTATCATAATCAGTAGAAAGAATAAACTGAATTTTTTTGCACAAGAACAAGGTTGTGATTATCAGCCATAATAGTATATTTACTACTGCTATATTTGTGTTCCTTGAAAGCGAAGTTAAGGAATCTTAAAAACACAAAACAACTGTGCAGAAAGTAATCCAGACCAAATTGAGATGAAAAAGGAGAATTTCAGAATAGCTTGGTGAGGTGTTACAGTAGCTCTGCCACTACTTAGCTGTCGTCTTGCTGTAGGACGTTGGGTAAGGAACTCTTACAAAGCACTTAATGTGAGATGAAGGGAAGGCTGGTAAGCTTTTTTTTTTTTTTTTTTGTAAGAATAAACAATTCTTTATTGTAGATTGATAAGTTCATAATTATATATATATATATGTATGTATTGTATATATGTAAAAAAAATATAAACCCAGTCCCTTGTTTTAACTTAATCTTTAGCTGACAAATCAGTGGCAGTCATTACCTCTAAGCAATACTTCCTTAACTTCAGTGTCCTCACGCCATCTTCCTTCTTTGTCTGGCCATCTCAGCATCGTTATGTAATAGTTCTCATTTACAGGGAGTATAACACTATGTGTCACTTCTCCCTATGTTTTTTAACATGATCCTTACCCAGCTATGGGAAATGTCTCGCTTTCTGTTCTTTTTTGTTCCTTTCCTCCCCCTGTCCTTCTCCTTGACTGTAAACAAGACTGAAATCAGCAGGTTCTTTATAAAATCTCTTGAGATAAGTATTCAGTAGAGCATAGGAGTGCTACTGAAGAAGGTCTGTTTGTTTTAATAACGTTGTAGACCCTCCTTTATGTCAGCAGTACAGGTGTATCCATGTGCTGCTGTGAATTCTTTCACTGCTGAAGAATAAACACAAATCTTAGTAGAATGATTGAAACTGTACTTTCTTTATGGAAAAAAAGACCAAATCTAATTGGTATTTTACTTTAAATTTTCACATCCACGTATTATGAGAATTGCTGTTGTGTCATGAATGTGTTCCTTGCCCCCAGCTTTGATGACTTTTTATTAACAATAAACAATATTGCTTCGGAGTGATTGACGTAATTACATGTGGTTTCTGTACTTCTGATTTCAATAGCTAGAGTGTTATGGCTGTGAAAGCTTGCTTCAAGGTATGGTTTATGCCAGCTGACTAAAACATTTCCGTATTAAATTGCTTTTCTCTGTCTTTGTATGTGCAGAGTTCATATGCAAGCTTTAACTATTGCAGTGTTAAAATAATAATCCACTGAAGACCTCAGTTATAAGAAACAAAGTACAGAAATACTCATGTAAACAGTGGGGACACTTGGCTAAGCAGAAAGTAGCCTTCAGAACTGGGATTCATATCATGAAGACCAAGCTTGATAGTGTTCAAAAATAGAGTATGAGAAGTAAGCTAAAAACCCATGGGCTACCTAATATATATTTGTTTTCCATATACTATGAATACGTATGTAAATGTATGCCTACATATATATGAAATTTATTTTTGTATCACTGCTAATCATCTGATGAAAGTTAGAGAAGAACTAAAGCTGTACTGAGCCCTTGTGTGCAAGTCCTCTGTCCTCCATGATTCTTTCCCAGGGATGTACCTCTGCTGTTCCCCTGCTCTTCTCCTTGCTCTCCTGGGAAGTGCTGATTCCCTTGCAGCTTCCAGTCCTCTTGCAAGGGACTGGTGCCTATCCTGGTGTGAGGTCAGAAGATGGAGCAGCAGTTTGTTGCTGCCTTGACAGATCTGTAGTCTAAGTTCGTTAAACAAAATGTTGGAGGTCAGTCATGATGAGCAATGTGGGAAAGCTCTGCTGAGTTTAGAAAAGGTTTCGAAAGAGGGCGGGCAGTCGAAGAGCAATTTTCCATGGGCCGAGCTAGCTGGTACAGTCCTACTTCAAAAATTTGTCTGCGTTATCTTAAATTGATCTTGAAATTGCAGTGGGTTGAAAAATACATCTTTACTGAGCCTGTTAGTAAAAAATGGAAAAAAAATATCTTGATTTCTTCATAGATGCCACAGAACTCTAACAGGTACCTGTGAATAACACATACCTGTCTTTTCCTTGATAGAATAGAGCAAGTATGAAGTTTCTCCAAGTTTTTGAAAGGTAAAATGTAAATGTAAAACAGAGCAAGCTGTCTACAATGAAGAAATCTTAATGTAATCTTAATAAGGGTTTAAAGTAATATTGCATAAGGTGCAAACTGCTATCCCAAAGTTTATCTTGTTTTGAATTGCTAAAAATCCATCTGAGTTCCTTTCTCAATGTGCTGCTGAAGCCTGACGCAGACAGCACATAATCTGGAGATTATCATGGAACACAGTTGTAACATACACAATGTAATGTGGTTTCTTAAGCTGAATTGAAACTCTGACCAGTTATTAGAACAGGTTAGCATTTGAGGAAGAAAATTTCCTTAATTCTGTGCTTTGGAATGCATTTCAAGTTTAAGCTTAAAACTCCACTTAGAAATGTTAGATAAGTTTTCTATTGAAATAAAAAGTTTCTTGATGAAGATAAAGGTTATGACCTGAATACAGCTACCAGAAAAGCCAATTAGAAAAATTCCTCACCTGCAAGATACAAATTTTACCCTACTAAAAGAGGTAAATAGATGAAACGACTGTTATCTCAATTATCCTTTGTTTTTTTAAATGAGCTTTTTTTTTTTCCCTTGGCAAACTAGGTGAGCAGTACATTTTGAACAACTGTTTGTAGTGTTTTACGTCTTTACTTGCAGACTGCAAATTTTTGCTATTAAAATTAAATAATAATTTCAAAGCTAACATTTAAAAAGATTTGTATACAGACCGAGTTCGTGTTACTTCATGATTCTGGTCATCTCAAGTTGTAGGCACTGTGAGATGCTGTTAGGGCTGTTCTAGGGTCACACATGGTCTTGGTAGTTTTTGGGTGATAGCAAAACATTCAACGGTAATGCAGCTTCTTTGTTAGATGTTATTTGGCTTAGTCTTAAATTAGAAGAGTTGTAATTCTTGTTTGTTCAGAAAGCACTTTTTCAGTTGTTTACCTTTTTTGTTTTTCAGTCACAGAAATCCTGGATAGAAAATACTTTCACCAAGAGGGAGTGTGTGTATATTATACCAAGTTCAAAAGACCCCCACAGGTAAGAAGAATGCATAATGTTATTAGCTACTCAATCTCTATTAAGTACCATTTTCTGTTTTCCTACCTTCACTGTTTCTTGTCTGGAACTTGTCATTCTATGTGTCTAGATTGGATTTATTTTTTCTTGAATTTATTTTGCATTGCAGAAATCTCTAATCAATGTTCTCCGCTTGTCTTTGTTGCTTCTTACCAGTCCTAGTGATGTCTGTGCTGTCTACACTCTGGGCTGTTGGTTTTTTTTTTTTTTAGTTCTTTTTTGGTGGCATAGTTCTGAAAAGTGAGAAAGTCTCAGAGAAATACTGAATTCTAAGAACAACAGTCTGACTGTATGGTAACATATAAAAGTAGACCTGACAGTGAAATAAGAAGGGATGAAAAATTTGTAGAAAGAATAAAGAGAAATGAAGATCATGATGGGGACAGAGGTGAAGGTGGGAGTAGTTCCTTCCAAAACAGGGAGTATAAACAAAAGAAAAATAGTTCAGGTATCAAAAGATTCCATATCACTTCTAGTTGTTTTTCATTCTTTAGGATCTGTAAGGAAAAAATGAATTTGGAAAATGGGGAAATACATTTCCAGAGGGGAAGCTGAGACTAATGAAGGACATCTTGCATATATCTGGTTCTGTTTTACTGTATACTAATTCAGAGATATGAAATCAAGCAACAGAAACATAACTTTTACTTTCAGCAATTGTTATAAAGATGATTTCTTTATTCCTACAATACGTGAACTTGATGTGCACAGTCACAACATCTATGTTGCAGATGAAAGTCAAGTAGATTCTAAGTTGGTATTTTAGGCAGTTTTTGTCTAATCAAAATATGAACTATTGCCCCTGTCAATTTCACATCAGCATTTTCTTTTTAACAGTTGAGAAACTGTTCCTTCTGAGCTATAGAAAACCTCTATTTCAGTCTTTTCTGTGGAAAAAAGTTATAAATCAGCTTTTTTCTTTTGGGAACAAGGTATTATTTTATGTCTAAGACTTTGTTTTTAGGAAGAAAAAGAACAAAGTAAAAGCTTTAGAATTTTGAAGTTAATGTAAATAATTCATTGCGTTCCTTGAAACCATGTGATGTGAGAAGCATTTAGAATTTATAGCCATGATTGTAGCACATGGAAAATTTACAAATGCAAACAAAGTAATTAGGAAGCTGTTAAAATTCCCAGAGCATTTCCCAAAGAACTAAATGATCTCCTACACTTGCCCTTTTAGGTTAACTCATTTACAGTATATAGGGACTTTACAACTTTCCCATCAGATGCCCTTCAGACTCGACACACTGCTTGCTGTTGTTTTGCTGCTGTTCTGAGTTGAGCATAAAAGAATGAGATGCAGATGGGAGAATTCTGTAGCTATCCTTGATCCATACCTTTTAGCATAGATATTTATGCTTTCATAACTGCTAGAGAAGGTCTAAACCTAAAGGGGCAGTATGAAAATGTAGATGATTAGTAGCCCAGTGTACCTTCTAAAGAGGATGCAATTAAGAAATTATTTCTGCTGAAAGCCTGAATGTTATTTAAGTTATTGTGTAAAATATGTTGTTCTATGCTCTTGCACACCAGCTCTTAACCATTGTGGTTAAGTAAAAATTGTGGAAAACAGTGATAGAATTTTATATCTGCTATGCTGTTAAACATTAATAAAACGATTGTCAGGAAAACAGAAGAAATATTTAAGATGAAAGAGGGTAATTAAAAAAAGATTTGTTTTTGTTTAATAAACTTATTGTGTAAAGACACTGTTCTGTGAGATTTGTTCAAACATGTCTTTTTCTGTAGGTGCTGCTAGGAAATGATGGAATAGGCTTCCCACATAGGCAACTCAGCTTGAATGTGCTAGCAGTGCAGAGGCAATGATGTATTGTTAGAATTTGTCAAAGTAAATGCCAGTCTAAGTAACTTCTTGGCATCTGGCAAACTGTTTCCATTTGACTACTGCATAATCCAGGCTGAAATGTTCTTGGACTTCAGATACCAATGGTCCAAAGACTAAAAACTGATTTGAAAGCTCAGAATTGAAGCTTTCACATTTATGCATTTTTGCTTGAGATGTCTACAGCAGTCACATAAATTAGAGAAGTTACCATGTTTAAAATGGGCAAACTCTTGCAGCTTGTTTTCCTGTTACTGTAGGGTAGTAATCTTTTTGTAAGCAGGTGAAGTGGTATGAGTGGCATTTGATCTGTGTTTGTTTGTTTCTCCACCCACTCTCACTCATCCCTTGAAATTTAAGCTGATGTTTACTCATGTATTTAAATACTTCTTATAGATGCCTTCCAGGATGTCAGATTTGTCAGCAACTTGTCAGGTAAGAGTTCTTTTAATTAAGATATTTACGAATACTTTTTTTTTCCATTAAGTAATCACTTTTATAATAGTGATTTTATAAGTCTTGATCAGTATTGCAAGTGACAAAGCAGTGAAAGGTTAGATATAAAACAATACAACTAATGAATAAAGAACTATCTGTTTAATGTAGATCATCTGTTTATATAACTTTAATAAATTACTTAGGTCAAATAATCAATTTCAGTTTCTAGTATCCTGGCTACTTATAATTACTTCTGGATTCCTACTTTCTATCACAGTGTTCAACATTTTGCATAGCAATTGTGTATATTATTGTCGTTAATTATCTCAAATATTTATGGTAACAAGGTTTGCTCTAGAAAAGAGACTTATATAATATTTAGCATCTTTCCTTTCTGAATCTAACAAATCTCTGTTACAGATAAAAGATTTATTCTCTCATCTTGTAATGGTGTATTTGTTCAAGTATTCTAAAAGATTGATGTGGTTGGGTGCAGGTGCTGCTGTGGCCGCTTGGTCAGACAACATGCTTGTTTTACTGCAAGTCTCGCTATGAAATACTCCGATGTGAAGCTAGGTGAGAACTGTAATCAGGAAATAGAAGAATGGTCAGTGGAAAAACATACAGAACAAACCTCTACTGATGCTTACGGTGTCATCAACTTCCAAGGTGGCTCTCATTCTTACAGGGCTAAGGTATGTTTGCAATTAATTCTGAACTATGACTTCTTACATAAAATATCTTCATACAGATGGTGGATGCTTCATTTAATTTCTGAAAGTGGAGGCTGAAGGATGGAAACGATGATTGTCATATTGTGGCAAAACAATGCCCTCTGTTATCATAGTATTTTTATTGTGATATGAACTCTTTCTAATTTCCTTTATTTTTATAACAAAAGTCTCTCAAATCTATCAAATTAGTTGAATTCATGTACGAGTTTGCCTTCGTGTTGCAAATGGTGACAATTCCTAATCCTTTCAGCAAAACATTGCATTAATAATTCAGTGTCATTGTTTCAGACATCATTAAAATACAGCTTACTCATCAGTGCTGCTGCTTACTCATTACTGTTAAATGTTTATAGAATCTGCTAAATAACATCTGCTATCTGAACCCTCCTGAAAAATCATTTACAATTATAGACAGGTGAAATACATGATTTTTCTAGTAGATTTGAACAAAATTATTGTAGCATAATCAAACCTATCAGAATAGCCAAGTTTTTTGGGTGAAGGGTTAGTTAAAAACAGGTATGCCTGTGAATGAAAATGTTGGTAAGCAGTTCTTAATTCACAGGTGCACATTTAACAGAAAGGCTGGAAAACTGGAAATTCTGGCATGTGCTCCACAACTATTTTGTGAAGGGTTTCTAGTTGTGATGGAAATTAGTTAATGCTCATGCAATTTTATCCTTGCAACTGATACAGCGTAGCTCCAGAAATCCAACTGAAGCCTTTGTTAAGGAAGCTGTGTTCTTTATGCAGCCAGCAGAGCCCTCAGGGGCAGTCTGATGCTCTAAATGAGATCATCTCTGGAGAGAAGGGCTCTTGGCAGAATTCTTTTGTGTTGGTAATAGCAATGTGTTTGTTCCTCATACCTATAGTATACCTTATTCCTTCGTACCTATAGCATACCTTAAAATTGATGTAAATCCATTTTTAGGAGCACAGAAATATCAAGTTTCTTGTGGTTGTTTCTGATGGCTGCTAATGGGGTTGCTAAAAAGAAAGTTATTGGGATAGTGATCTTTTTAGTTAATTATCCAGATTGGTCTTAATTTCTGTCTGTTATCCCCCTCCTCTCTTGTACAGTATGTATCAAAGACGCAGAAGTATTTTTAACTGATTGATAATCTACTTAATCTTACACTGATAAGCACAGCAAGTTACAAAGCTCCTGTTATTGAAATTTCCCGCTAAAGAATTTAGATTTCCTTCCCATCAGGAACAGGGATGGAAAAGCTAGCAACTGTCTTTCTGTAAGACTTTTCACAAGAAAATGCAAGCCTTTCCCTATTAGATAGCAGAACTATTAATATTTCTGAATTCCTTTAAATTTAGAGATGATCCAGCACTTCCTTTTTTTTTTTTTTTTTTCCCTAGGAGGCTGTGCAAATGAGATGGAATAATGTGATCTTTCTGTAGTTATTAACTTTCTAGAACTTGCCTTCAAAACTGTTCATTGTCTTGTCCTTAATTTTGAAAGGCGTAAAGTAAGAGTCCTCATTTATTGCATCTGCCATGCTTTGAGAAAATAAATTACATTTTCCATACCCACAAATAGGGTAGTATATCCTGAAATACATCCTGATTCTTGTCTTTACTGTGATGGTTTCCTTTAAAAATATTTTAACTCTCTTCTTGTGCCTGCAGTATGTGCGATTATCATATGACACTAAACCTGAAGCTATTCTGCAACTTATGCTTAAAGAATGGCAGATGGAGTTGCCAAAGCTTGTTATCTCTGTACATGGGGGCATGCAGAAATTTGAACTTCACCCACGCATCAAACAGTTGCTTGGCAAGGGTCTTATTAAAGCTGCAGTAACAACAGGAGCCTGGATTATAACTGGAGGAGTGAACACAGGTACAGTACAAGTGAATGTGCACAGCTAAGAAGATTATAGTTTGTAAAAGCCAAAAGACTAAATGAATGAATAGCTACATCTTGAAGTAAATGTGGAATGTGATTAAGAGAAAACTAAAATAATGCTTTTTGAACATGTAGTAGGAAAAGCAATGTGAAGGATGGTGGTGGTGTTGGGAGGGTTGGGTGGTTTGTTTTAGTTTTAGAAACTGTAAGAAGAAAAACTTGATACAATTTCAACAAGTAGATTAAGGTACTGAAGACTCTATAGTTCTTCCTGGGCTAACACTTGCTGTATTGATTTACTAGTACACAGTACTTTGTCCTATTCTGATGGGTGTACTGTGGGCGTTTTTTCTTTTCTGTTGCATAAAATAGATTCCCAGAAACTTACAAGCCCAATTAGCGAATGAAACAGTTGTATTTCTTAACAAGATGTGACATTTGATACATTGAAATCTTTTTTGTGTTCAAACACTAACAGGTGTTGCAAAACATGTTGGTGATGCTCTAAGAGAACACGCTTCCAGATCATCTCGAAAGATTTGCACTATTGGGATTGCTCCATGGGGAGTGATTGAAAACAGAAATGACCTTGTTGGAAGAGATGTAAGGATAAATTACCTAACTGAAATGATTATTTGCCTGCTTTATTTTTTGACAAATCTGCTCATGAATTTTTTTTTTATTGCTTTGTATCTTTGAAGTGCTTGCTATAATATTAAAGTACATTGACATATGTGACTTATTGCAAGTTCATTAGTGTAACAAGTTGCAGACTTCTAATGCAGTAGAGGAGGAGCTTGTTCTTAAGTGTGGGATCTTGTTTTTTTCCCCTACTGGTATTACTGAATCAAATAACAAAAGTGCTGAAGTATTACAGAGAGCTCACATTTACAGAAGGTGATAAATTTTGATGTCTTTAAAGCTAATTTTTGAGAGAGCAATTTTTCACAAAGACACCTTTTCAAGGTATTTTTTCTATGCGCTCTTTCAGAACAGAATTCTTTTGTGATAGTTGCATGCTTTCTTGCATAAAACGAAGCTGCTGCAGCTCCTGGTGAATCCAAGCTTACGTGTGTCATTTCTTGCTGTGTCTAGAAATATTGTTGAGTTTTACTGAGACAAATTTGAATCTCTGCAAATAAAATGCATTGTCTGCTTGTGTTTAGGTGGTTGCTCCATATCAAACCTTGTTAAACCCATTAAGTAAACTAAACGTGCTAAATAATCTCCATTCCCATTTCATTCTGGTGGATGATGGAACAGTTGGGAAATACGGAGCAGAAGTTAAATTGCGGAGAGAACTGGAAAAAACTATAAATTTGCAGCGGATCCATGCAAGTAAGTAATTCTGCTCTGAGTGTTACTGTGCTTTAATGAATAAGGTGCTTTCATCAAGCATTTAAATTAAAAGAAAAAAATACAAAAATCAGTCTGTTTTGGATGTTTTAAGTCTGAATGATTGTTCTGCACATTTCATCTGCTGCTTTGGTCAGAGCTGAAAAAGCAGTCAGTGCAGATGAGTAGCAATAGTTGTCCAGTGGCTGCTCAATTTAAATTTGTTTAAATTTGTTTTCTTTTATTTTAAAGCACGGGAATGATATTCTGACAGTATTAACTTTTTTCAGACTTACCGATGTGTGAAGCAGTGCAGACATAATATCTACCATTGTTACTGCTTTTATGTAAATAAAAGTGACAACTTAGTTAACATTTGTGTGAATCTATAACAGTCTCTGCTAGTGTCTCTCCTGAAACTCTGGCACTGAAACTTCTAATGCTAGACCTGATAAAATGCTTTCAAGTCTTATGCTTAATTTTTTGTTGATGCTGACAATGGTGAAAAAATGTGACTTAAATATTAACACTTCTTTTTTTTTTTAAAACGCACAACTTTATAGGAATTGGCCAAGGTGTACCTGTGGTAGCACTCGTATTCGAAGGGGGCCCCAATGTCATACTTACAGTTTTAGACTTCCTTCATGAAAGTCCTCCTGTACCGGTGGTGGTATGTGAAGGAACAGGCAGAGCTGCAGACATACTGGCATATGTTCACAAGCAAACAGAGGAGGGAGGGTAAGTCCTAGTACCGCTAGCCAAACCAGCAGTTACACATAGATGGGTTTCAAGAGCATTCCTTAACGAATTGGTGCAAGAGCTTTATCCATGCAAAGACAAAAGGTGAACGTGTAGAGCGTAACCTTGCATGTGACGTAGAGTGTAACCTTGCATGTGATGTAGCTTTCCAGATTTGTTGCAGTAACAGCTTTGGCTGAAGATCAAGACTTCTTTTCTAGTTCTAGGCTCCTCCTACGTACTTTGTACCAGTTGCACTAAGTACTTGAGTATACTTACATTAGCAGTAGTTATTAAAGGTTAGGAAAAGCGTATGCACCTACGTCCTAAACTAGGGGAAATGTCTCGTGTAACTGAAGTGTGGCAATTTTGTTATACCACTGTGACTAGAAAGTCCCACTCTGTTCTAATGATCTGTCTACTTCAACTGGATTTTAATTAAGTAAGGCACAGTAGCTCAAGTGAGAAATAAGATTAAGTGTATGCAGTAGGCTTGCTCAACAAAAGTCAGAGCTGACCAGGCCTTCCAGAGTTATGAGAAAAATACAGAGAATAACGTTAACCAAACTGCTTGAAAGTATCTCTTGACTACATTGAGTGGAATATTTTCATCCAGTTAGCTGTTGTTTAGTAACAACTTTTCTGGAAAGGAGTTTGTTTCTGTACTTTTTCTTCTGAGTAGTCTTTAAACTGAGCTTTTTACAGACTTCCGTTTAGTGTAAAAAAACACTTATCTGTTTAAGTATAGGTTCAACAAATAAAAGGGATATACTTCCATGGTACCTAGTGGCTTCTAGTTGGTTGTCAGACTTGCGTTAATCCTTATATGTAATTGGGTCTTAGTTGCAGGGACTGCCTTAGAACCAGGAATGTAGGGCTGAGATGTAGCACAAAACCAAACACTTTTGCTGTAATGAGTAAAGTCAGAAGCAGATCTGATTCAGAGGGATGAGTGTGCAGTATTTTTTGTCAAAATATTTTAGTCAGCAGTGTCTCAGGTTTGGTTATGGGAAGGAAAGTGAGAGAGATTAGTTACTTTTAGGAAGCAATATTACAGTCATTGGCTAGGCAACCTATGCTTCTAAAGGTTAGCCAAGGTTTTGACACTGGAACAACAATGAGCTTATAGATTACAAGACTTTGAGTGGACCTCTTGAAACTAATATGTTGTCATTCCTACTGTTCATGTGTAACATGTTTTCATGTTCAATCTCAGGAATGTTCCTGAGGGTGCAGAGCCTGAAATTATTTCAACTATCAAAAAGACATTTAACTTTGGTCAAAGTGAAGCAGTTCATCTGTTTCAGACACTGCTGGAGTGCATGAAAAAAAAAGAACTTGTAAGTAGATCTTGCTATAGAAAAATCTTATACAAGGTAATGGCATTTGTGGATATAATAGTAAGTTGTATCTCAGTGTTGTGTATGATCAAGTGTTATTCAAAATCATTACTGGTAGATCTCACCAATTATAGAAGATAGTCATTTTTTGTGGGTAATCTGTCTCATAATCAAGGGAGACTTTAATCTTTTAATTATTCCTGGTAATTCAAGTTTATTATTGTTTCCACGCGTGTTTGTTTTCTGCATACTGGATTCTGTTTCATTCATAGCATGTATGTATTTTGTATGTGGGATATGGAATACTTTCTCATTTCGATTTTTGAGAGCCTGTGATATTTTTTTCCTCTTAATTATTACAGTACTAACAAAGAACCCCTATCATTTTATTATTAAAGCAAAAGCACTTAATAGAACTTTATATACAGCCAAAATTCAGATATTGATGTCTCATTTGGACATCATAATGTGTTGTTCTAAGGTTTAAAATTGGCATAATCACCTAAATGCATTTGTTGGCAGGTTAATCTCATAATATAGGGTGAACTGAAGAAGTAAATAGAACACTAGGTGATGTTTATAGCCAGTGGAATATTGTAATCATATTGAGGGAAGAAGTTCAGATTGGTTGAAAAGCGTAAGGAATTTCTGCTTTGTTTTTTGTCAGCTGATTGTCTTGTGTTGTCCTGTACTGCAGAGTGCACAGGAAAGGTGAATTTAAATGGAGTGTAGACTTAAATTGCATTGAAGATAGACATAAAAATTCGGAGCTAATCACTTTCATCTGAAAATGAATTTTTAACATTTTAAAATCCATTTTACTGTTTTTAACAGATTACTGTCTTTCATATTGGGTCAGATGAACATCAGGACATAGACGTTGCAATACTTACAGCACTGTTAAAAGGTGAGACTCTTAAGTGCTTTTGGAACCTCCAGCTGTTCTTTCTTGGTGATTACATGATTATAAAAATCTGTAGTAATCTTTACTTTTGAAGAAAATAATTAGCCACTGTTCTCTCATTTTTTAGTACCATAAACTTTCATAACTGATGAAATAAACTGCATGACATTCAGATGTATTACTTATTTTACAGGAAGAATGAATGTATATTACATTTTAATTTATTTTTTTCATTGTTCTTGCTTCTTAAGGCACAAATGCATCTGCATTTGACCAGCTTGTTCTGACGCTCGCGTGGGATAGAGTTGACATTGCCAAAAATCATGTTTTTGTTTATGGGCAACAATGGCTGGTATGTAAATGGCCTGGATTAAGCAGAATGGTATTTTGTAAGGGAGAAACTTAACTTGCTGTAAAGAAAGAATCTTTTGACTTCTGAGATGCTGTAAAATATGGGCAGAGTTATTTTTAGAACCATAATTTTTTTCATACTTCATAGTCTTATAGCTGTATTGTAGTTGAAAATGGCCCAAAAATTTTAGAAATGTGTTAAATATTCTGAGCGAGAGAAGAAATGGTGCTGCAGAAGTTGAAAGCTGAATTGATGTTAGAGGTATGCAATGACAGTTCTGACCATTTGTCTTTCAAAGCAAATGGTGGTGTAAATATTTGATGTCTTCATATGTTTCATCCAATATCAATATGTGAGAAAAGCTTAACTACGTTAAACCAAATTAGGCCAGTGTAGTACTACTGAGTGTGTCAGTAAGAGATATCTATGGAAGAGTATACGATCAGAGAAAACACTTAAGTCCTCATAATATTCTCTCATCCTGTAATTGTGTGAAGCTCAGGGGATTTTCTGACCTGAATGTGGCCTTCGGTTTTTTAGACATATAGGGTTTCCCTGTTCCAACTCTGGGGATAAATGAGGTTGGTTTGTAATTTAAATATGCCTATTTCTGTGGTATGTCTGTGGTTCTGTGCTTGTAGGTTGGCTCTTTGGAACAGGCTATGTTAGATGCCCTTGTGATGGATAGAGTTGCATTTGTGAAACTTCTGATTGAAAATGGAGTAAGCATGCACAAGTTTCTTACAATTCCCAGGCTGGAAGAACTTTATAACACCGTAAGTGAATTGTTGCTCATTCTTTTTGTATTTTTATTTATTTTAGCTAACATTCAAAAATATTGGGCTTTTACTGTGGTATACTCATGTTGTCTCTGCACTCTAATTTTTTTTTCCCCTCTTCTTTTTTTATAAAGAAACAAGGCCCAACCAACCCAACACTCTTCCATCTTGTTCGAGATGTCAAACAGGTATGCTGCAATTGTAAAAATCTATCAAACTAAACTTGATTTATTATTATTATTTATTGTGTTTGACTGTCAATTTAATCTTGGCTTTACTAATTAGGTTTTGCTGAAGCAACAAACTATGTCTGCTGTCATGCTTTTGTTTCCAATATTTGTAGTTGTGTGGAGAAGGTGGTGCCTTGCTACCACACAAATGTGTGTTATATATGATAAGTATTGTGGTGCCTTGCTGCCACACAAATGTGTGTTATATATGATAAGTATTGTCTTTTTCATCTTAGTTGTGATTGCTTTGCTTTTTGAGAGTTTGGAAGCTGAATAAAAGACAAAAAATCAATACATGACGACCCTTCTCTCCTAGCATCTAACCTCATTAGAGAAATTGTACAGAAGAGAAGTTATAAGCTTGTCTTTTCTGAAATTGATTAATATTGAACCATGTAGATGCTTTGTGTCTTTTATATTTAAAAGTTATTTTGTTTTTATTTGTTTATATTTAGAGTTGTAACATTTAGGAAATTAGAATTTGCAAAACTGAAAATACCTTTTGTATTCTTAGGGAAATCTTCCTCCAGGGTACAAAATCAACCTGATTGATGTGGGGCTGGTTATTGAATATTTGATGGGAGGAACCTACAGATGCACCTACACAAGAAAACGCTTTAGAGCTATATACAATAGTCTCAGTGGGAACAATCGGGTACGTGGCAACTGGGTAACAAGACATGCTGATTTGTTTGTACATAATTAAAAAAAACTAGATATTTTTGTGAAAAATTGGAGCTATATTATTTTGTTCTTTTTATCAAGGGACTGATTCTCTTACAGGCTATGATACAACATATGAGGGCAAATGGTAGCTATTTGCAATTGAGAACAAAAAAGAAGTTTTATCGTTTTCTTTCTTACTCCAGCATATCCAAATTTCTTCTGGTATTTTCTCTCTTCCTAGAGGGGAAGAATGGGTGCCAAACACGCAGATTCCCTTGGGCGTGGGATGCAGATACTGTAACTTCTTGGCAGTTACACTAATTGCTTTACTATTTTGTGAGTTTAAAATAAATAAATAATCCTTCTTATGTAACCAATGAGAACACTAATTGTTGCTGTTATATAAATTCATCACTGTTTAATTGCTCAACTTAGTATCTAGCTGTAAACAGCTTGTTATATGCTGTTTAATAAGTAGATGTAAAGAAAACAAGCCAAACCTCTTCCTATTATTTTTTGCTACAGCGATCTGGACGAAATCCTTCAAGCACTACTCCTCAGCTGTGTAAAAGCCATGAGTCTTTTGGTAACAGAGCAGACAAAAAGGAAAAAATGCGACATAATCACTTCATCAAAACAGCACAGCCATACAAACCAAAGGTACAGAAGTTTAGGGGGAAAGTATTAGATTTAATTTTAAGCAGTTAAGAGTGGAGAGTCTGGTTGAAACCCAAGTGCAGTAGCAGCAGTTTTACTTACTTTAGTAAAGCTGGAATTTCAGCCTTTTGTCCTTGCTTATAAACTGTCTAGCACACTTATAGGATTCTGTTAGTAATGTCTGTATTAGTCTTCCAAATAATTTCTGATGTGCTAGTGAGCAAAAAGGTCGTTTTTGGAACGGTTCTGTCATTGGGGGGGAACTTACATGATTTGGTAGATGAAGCAGGATTTGGCCAGGATATTTTAGAGGAATTTTCATGAGCTGTTTCTTTTCTATGTAGGTATGATAGTTACTGCATTGCATTTGATGTATAAAATCAAGGTAGTCCATTCTCTCTGTTATTAAAAATGAATTGTACTTAACTGAAGTTTGAAGCTGCAGAAAAAAAGTTCTATCTGCTTCTGAAATGTTTAGAAATTTTTTTCTTTTTTTATAAAGGAATATATAACACTTTACATTAGAGCACTCAATATTTTAATTACATAATGATCAAGTATAGTGATATAAAAATGTAACTTTCTCGTTTTATTTTAAAGATTGACACTGGTGCAGAAGAGGGAAAAAAGAAAAGAACCAAAGATGAAATAGTAGACATAGATGATCCTGAAACAAGACGTTTTCCTTATCCTCTCAATGAGCTGTTACTTTGGGCGGTGTTAATGAAGAGGCAGAAGATGGCCCTTTTCTTCTGGCAGCATGGGGAGGAGTCCATGGCAAAAGCCCTAGTTGCATGCAAAGTGTATCGTTCAATGGCATATGAAGCAAAACAAAGTGACCTTGTTGATGACACTTCAGAAGAATTGAAACAATATTCCAAGTAAATTACATTTATATAATTAAACTCTGTTCTTGGAATTTCCAATAAAAACAATGGGCTGTATTACTAGATAATAAAAACAATTCCATTAGCACACTCATAGGAAGTTCCTTTTTGCAAAAATGATTCAGTGGTAGTCTAGTAAAAGTTGGGTATTAGATATTGCTCATTCAGAGAGCTGTTAAAATCAGGTTTTATATTTAAATTAAAATGGACTGAATGTGCCACTTGGAACCATCTGACCTTCTTGTATACTGTTTTAGCAGCTATATGTAGTCTGCATATATTTTATTTTTTTAACAAAAGTCACAAATTTATGTTAGAAATGCATGTACCAGAAGGGACAGGCAATAGTCCAGTCAAATTATGTTCTTGGGAACTTGATTACACAAGAAAATTTGACTCAAAATCTATGCATACTAAGTGTTTTTTGTTTTGATGCTTTTTCTTTTCATTGTAGTGAGTTTGGTCAGCTGGCAGTTGAATTGTTAGAACAGTCCTTCCGACAAGATGAAACTATGGCAATGAAGTTACTAACATATGAGCTTAAAAACTGGAGCAATTCAACTTGTCTGAAGCTGGCGGTTTCATCAAGGCTTCGTCCATTTGTTGCTCATACTTGTACACAAATGTTGTTATCAGATATGTGGATGGGAAGGCTGAATATGAGGAAGAATTCATGGTATAAGGTAAGTGTCATCACTTTTTATTGTTGGCGTAAAAATGATCAACAGAATATATATCTAGATGGAAAGGAAAATATGTGCTTAAATGCTTTCAGTGTAAAGCTTTCACCACTGTAACTTGTGTTAATAAATCCTGTGAAACTGTCTCCTATAACATAATCAAAACTGGAATTATTTATTGTTAACTCTTCTGTTGACACTCTGTTGTCTTTTCAAATAAGGTACAGAAATACAAAAGGCAAAGAACAGGCAAGTAGTCTTTGATCGTAGGCTTAAAGAGATCTTGTGAATACTAATCCCCTACTAAAAATATAGTGGTTAAAAAAAAAAAAAAAAAAAAACAGACAGAAAACCCACTGTAAGAACATAGTTTCGTGCATTTTGGATTTTTACAGGCAACACAGACTTGATGTAGAAAAGCTTTCTATATATTCTATTTTGGAGGAAGAAGCTGAGCAAAAGAAGGGCACAGAGTGAAACAAGGGTAGGCAAATCGGGGATAGGCTTTCTGACAGTGCCTTTTGGTACAGATCAATTGAACCAACATGAGTGTTGCATATATCTTTGAAGTGCTCTACCAAAAACTTACTGCTGCTAGGAATATAGTGAAGTACATCTTTTGTACAAATTATCAACAAGCATAATTTAACTTGTGACCTACTAAAATCCTCCTTGATAACTGATTAACAATCTTCTTGCTTGCTTTTTAACCAGCTAATAACAATAAATAGCTTTTACTTAATCCCTTCATTCATACAATAGCTTTCATTTTCTACCATGAGTTGAATGACAAGTCCCACTCACATGCTTCTAAAATATGCCTTGATAGTTTGTGGCTCCAGAGTTTCTGGGAGTGGGTTAAAGAAAAAGTTGAAATAGAATTGCTCTGGATCTTCAGGCTCAGAGTACGTTCTTTTTAGCTGCTTCTAGTTCTGGAGTTTGTTGGTTCTTTCCCTTTCCCGTTTCTAAAAGTGAAGGAACACTCTGTATATGTCATCTTAGCTATTATTACTTACGTACAAACTTAGGAGGCTAATTAGTTCCTACACTTCTATCTTCACTAACAAGCAAGGGCAATCTGGCTAGTATATTTTCAGCAAATATTTTATGTATTGCTGTATTCTGATATTTTAATTTAACTGTGAACTATTTGAACTTAATCTTCATCTTTTTCAGGTGATATTGAGTATTTTACTCCCTCCTGCTATACTTCTGTTGGAATATAAGACTAAGGCTGAAATGTCACATATTCCTCAGTCTCAAGATGCACATCAAATGGCAATGGATGACAGTGAAAACAACTTCCAGAATGCAGCAGATGAAATACCAATGGTAATGGTGGTGGATAATAATAATAAAGAAATTCTAATTTAAAATAAATAATTACATTTTTCAATTAAACCTCCAAATGCATGCCTTTCTGTATGTGAAGCTAACAATCCTTTCATTTTAGGAGGTGTTTAAAGAAGTAAGGATCTTGGACAGTACCACAGAGAAGCATGATATGGAAACCCCAGCAAAACCTAAAAGACTTCCAATTACACAGAAGTTTTATGCATTTTATCATGCACCAATTGTGAAGTTTTGGTTTAATACAGTGAGTTTTCTACTGTGTAATATGTGTTTTTTTGGTGGTTTTTTTTTTTTTTTTGACAACTAGTGCAGGTATTTGGGTTCTTTCTATAATATAGTTCTGTGACTTGCAGCAGTTTGTGTTTTATAAAAACAAACAAACAAAAAATCTTGCTCTGGTAGACTGGAAGTGAGAAGTACTTCATTCTGAAAAAAAATACAGGTGCAGTGCTTAGCATTTTTAATGTTCATGAGGTTGATTTTAAAAAATAGTAAATTTTTATGCTACAAGTAATTAGTGTAAAATTTTTATTCTGGCCTGAGTAATTAATTTCATCATTTGTTTGAAGGAATTCTGTATTTATTTATAGGATAAAAAGTGTTAATGCCCTAAGTTTTAAAAGTTATTCTACAAACTTCTATCCTAAGAAAATATGATTCCCATATAAATAATAACTTGTCTGCTTAAAGAGTTAAAACATACTTCTGTAATTCTACTTGAAGCTGTTATTCTATACATAAAAAGAAAAATTCCACACATTTTTAAGAAATTCTCTTCTGTAATTGCATGTATAATTTTCCTTGCTGTTTTTAGTTGGCATACTTAGGATTCCTCATGCTCTACACATTTGTGGTTCTTGTAAAAATGGAAGAAGTGCCATCTGTCCAAGAGTGGATCGTTATTGCTTACATTTTCACATCAGCAATTGAGAAAATTCGTGAGGTATGTTTGTAACAGTCTGTGATTTTATTTTTGTGTCAGTTATAACAGCGTGCTTCAAACTGTGATAATAATCAAAACAGCCTGAGAAACTTTAAGAATCTGAGTACATGATGCATAATACCTTTGCCCTGTCATGGTCATACTTTGGGGAATAAAAAAATATATTGGTGGGCTGATTTTTTTATTTTAATGTGTATTTACTTATTGCCCCTGTGACTGTCTAATCAGGTTCTAACAAAAAGCCTTACTTTTCTGGGAAATTAAATATATACATGTCTATTAGTATAAATCAAACTCTGCCATTAAGACCAAAATGAAACAAAAGCAGAAAAAACTTTTATCAAGATAGATATATGCCACAACTACAGGATTGCTGACCAGCAAGGGTCTTTTGAGAAGTTCTATTAGAATTTTTAAATAGGAGAGGGAAAGCTACTTTGCTAGCTGTGCATTTCAGGTGCAACTGAGAGACAGGAAGTAGGGCTTGTTTGTGCCTGGAGAAAAAACAAAAAGCAAAAAAATAAAACCCAAGAAAATAGCAAATAAAGCAATTTCTTCATAACTTGTGCAGATAGAAGGAAGCTTCCTGTCATAGTTAAGAAGCTGGCACAGTTAAACACTATTCTTTGGATTCCTCAGTGCAAAACAGTTGTCCACTCAAATAGGTATTTTACTTTTGCAAGTATAACATTTTCCAAACATGATTCATCTGTTCCAGTGTTGTTTTATTTGGACTAAATGTTTATTTTTTCATTGCAGATTTTTTTTATGTCAGAAGCTGGGAAAATTAATCAGAAGATTAAAGTGTGGTTCAGTGATTACTTCAATATTAGTGACACAGTTGCTATTGTCACTTTCTTCATTGGATTTGTTTTAAGATTTGGAGCAAAGGGGAATTTTGGTGAAAACACCTATAGAGAAAATTACATATTTGTTGCTGGAAGAATAACATACTGTCTCAATATAATTTTTTGGTATGTGCGATTACTGGATTTTTTAGCTGTTAACCAACAGGCTGGACCTTATGTTATGATGATTGGAAAAATGGTAAGTACAATTTTACTTTTGTTTTTTTTTGCTGCATCTGTTTATAACTTCTCAGTTTTCTTTCAAGACATGTTGCTTACCCTGTTGCAGTATGTCAACAATTCAGTGTGCAGAAGTAACTAACTGGAATGTAAGTTAATGTATTTCAAAACAAGAGCTGTTAGAAGTCATCTTTATTATGGAACTTCCTCTGTCATGGACCTGTAAAAAGAGGAAGATCTTCCTTCTGAATTCTGTTAAATGTTTGAGACTTGAAAGAATATCACAGTACTCCTTCCTTGGTTAATCTAGCATTGCTTCCCTTTTGGCTTTGAAATCTGTTTATACTCCTGAGGTTTTCTTGACTTTGTGTTATCTACTACAAGATTTAACTTTATAAGTAACTTAACTTCCTTGTATGTGAGCTGTTTTAAATGTTTTTGGGTAGCTTTCCATAATTGCTCTTAAAATTAGATACTCCCCATGGGCTATCTTCTCATACAGTTGTGTATACTCTCACATTCTACTACATGTGACAATGCGGCCTTCAAATTTTCTTTCTTCCAAACAGGTAGAATGTTATTTGGTATGTTAGTTGATATCCAACATTGAGGTCTACTCCAACTGTTTTTATCACCAGTCATGTAGTGCAGTTTTGTTTTGTAATGTGAGAACTTATTTTTCAGGCAAGCAGTTGATGAGTGGTGGCTACCAACCATCCTTGAGATCCATTTTTGTTCAAAAACTTAGTAAATTTCTATAACAAAGGGAAGCTAATGTTAGGAGTTACAGACTTTCTAGTATTAACACGACTGGAGTGGAGGTAGAATTCTATAATAAGAAAAGTGATCAATGACAGTCATAAGAAGAGAAATGAAGAACAAGTGGCAGTGTTTTAAGCCCTAAGAACCATATATATGAAGGGGAAAGGGGTGTTCCCACCCCCTCTAAAATGGTTCCTGCAAAGTTAAATGCTGTCATTCTTTAAAAGGCAAGTGTCAAGCTGCTTATTTTCTCAGTTCGATTTCTTGTTACTAGCATAGGTTCTGTTTTTTCAGTTATTTCAGTCCTTCAGAAGCTACATAGACATTTTGTACAGCTATTCAGTGAATTCAGCAAATAATGCTGCTTCATCAGCTGCTCTTCCACGTAAAGAGTATTTGAGTTAAAAAAAAACAAAAACAAAAAAGAAAAAAAAACCTTTTGGCTAAGAATAGTAAACATAAGAAAAGAGAGGAAAAAAAATGAAATTTTGTACAGGGTTTGTTATTTAGCAAGATTTGCTGCCTGAAATGCATGCATCTTAGACTTCTCCTTAAACAACACGAAGAATTGATCAAACTTATGCTGTCAATGTAAAAATGTTTAAAGTTGTGAAACCCTAATTTTGATTATGTGCATTAACTGACTTTTGTGTGTGTGTGTGTGTGTGTGTGTGTATACATATATATATATTTTTTTTTTGTATTATTTCTGTATAGGTGGCCAACATGTTTTACATTGTGGTGATTATGGCACTTGTACTGCTTAGTTTTGGTGTTCCCAGGAAGGCAATATTGTACCCTAATGAGGCACCATCTTGGACTCTTGCTAGAGATATTGTTTTTCATCCATACTGGATGATTTTTGGTGAAGTGTATGCCTATGAAATTGATGGTAAGATACTGAAGCAAGTAAGGTTTATTCTGATAAGATCTTATTAAGATTTTATTTTTTGACATTAAATGCCCAGTATTGTTGATGTGGATTCCATTCATTGGATTATCATCTTTGTCACTTGCAGCTATGTAACTTCTTGATTTGACTCTTCCATTATACTTTATAAAGCTTAAATAGCATAGAATGAAAATTCTACTTAAGTGGGCTTTCTAATAAGGCTATTCCTACTAACAATAATTTGGAATTTTTCCACCCAGATACCTTGCCATAACTTTTGGCTGTTACGATACTACACTATTTCTTTTTCTTCTTCTTATATATGTTTATTTATTTTAAAACCAAAAATATAAATATACCATAGAAATAACTAGGAACTGTCTCCTGTATCTTTCTTCTATATTCCTAAATACATAGAGGTATTTTGAATTGCAGAACAGTGCATGTTGTTTATTGTGCAGTCTTTCATCTTTTTTTCTGTCTGTATCTGCCGTGAGTTCTAAAAGTTGCTCTATTATGCTTTTTTCCCCAACTCAGTTTGTGCAAATAATTCTGAGTCACAAGTTGCTCATCTCTGTGGGCCAGGAACATGGTTGACCCCATTTCTTCAAGCTGTCTACCTCTTTGTACAGTACATAATTATGGTTAATCTCCTTATTGCATTTTTCAAGTAAGTATATGGAATAATTACTTATTTTTGCTAATCCTTTCAGATATTAATTTCACTTTAATAATGGCAAGATAAGAACTGTTACCAGTTTGAGGCAATTCAATTTCGTGAAAGCATTTTCAGGTTCAAAAGCTAGTCTTCCTCACTGCAAATCACATGACAAGGAAGGGAAAATTGTGGTATGACTAATATGTGTCACATCTACAAGACCAAAGTGAACCAGATTTTTATCATAACTTGAAAACATTTTATAATTTCTTTTCTTTGTGAAGAAACAAGGTTGTTTCTGGATCAGTATATTCATTTAAATCTCTCTTCAACTGAGTTCAGTTGCAGAGTAGTTTAAGTCTATTGGAATTATCTGCAAGTATTTTATGTATGGGAATAAGCAGTTTGCTAACACATAGGAATGGTAGGCTGCAGAAATAATGTGGAGTGATTAAAAAAAAAATTCAAATTTGTCAAGAAAAAGTATTTGCAACTCAACAGTTTTGAAAATTTATCTCAATGCCTCTCATTTTCAAGGAAAAGTACTGAGATGATACCAGATGAGAGATCTCTAATTTTCTCCCTGCTTTAGAGCACAGTCTTTTCTTGAGTGTTTCTAGCTTCCACTATAATTACTTGTGCAGTGAAAAGCAAGTTTGTTTTCTTTTTTAACCAACTAGCCTTAAGACTCAAGATTGTTGAAGGATTTTTATTTTATTATTTGTTTTTTTTTAACACCTTGACAACAAGCACTAAAAAGCAACAAAACTTGAATTATCTAATGCTTTTTTTTTTTTCCTTTCAGCAATGTGTATTTACAAGTAAAGGCAATTTCAAACATTGTATGGAAGTACCAACGCTATCATTTCATTATGGCCTATCATGAAAAACCGGTTCTGCCTCCACCACTTATTATTCTTAGCCATATGGCTTCCCTGTTGTGTTGTATATGTAAAAGAAGAAAGACAGACAAGACTTCAGATGGGCCAAGTATGAGCACTTACTATTAAAAAATAATAATAATAAATTATGATTCTTTTTATATGTTTAAAGCAGGAAAGTGCAGTCTTGATTAAAATGTGTATTTTCAACAAAGTTGAGAAGCTGGACTTTGATGCTAGTGGGTCCCTTCTAACTCAGAAAATTCTGTGATTCTAAGTAGGTCTTTATTTTTTCTTTAATCATCAATATTGAATAAGACTGATTCTGTTCAAAGTTTCAGTGTTTTTACAAAGTATAATACACAGTCCCAAGAAAATCTCCAGTTTTTTATAACTAAGTTATTAAAAAAAAAAACAACAAGCCACCAAAAGATTAAATTTTCTGTTTGTGTTATTGGGACAATATATATTTATAGATATTGTGTGTGTGTATATATATATAATTTTTTTCCCACAAAAACTGATCTTATTTTAAAATCTTTTGAAAATTAAAAAAAAAAAAAAAAGTATTTCATAATGATAAAATCCAGCTAAGAAATCTAAGAAATCTAGCCCCTGCCTTAAAGAAAGAAGGTGTGTGGGTATGGGTTGTGTAAACATCATTGTTCTTATTTTAGGCAAAATCTTTGACATTATCTACCTTTTGCTCTAGCAATGAGAGGAAGAGTCCTAGATGTCACTTCTTTGTTTTTCTTCTAACACCATTTGTAAGGTTGTGGCTATTAATCTCCATTGTCTATACTGCTTTACATCGTATTCATCTTCTGAACTGTTTAATCTCTTTTTAGAACTCTTCCTGACAGAAGAAGATCAAAAGAAACTTCATGATTTTGAAGAGTTGTGTGTTGAGATGTATTTCAATGAGAAGGATGACAAATTTCATTCTGGAAGCGAGGAGAGGATTCGAGTCACTTTTGAACGGTAAAATTTTTACAAATAAAATTCTAAATAGAGAAGCTTAGAACTTCTATGATTTTTAACTGCTTTGAGGAGGGTAAATGCAATAAAATAGTCAAATGAAGTATTTGTGCAAACGTTAGATGATGCCTTTCCATTGCTATGCAGAAGCTGATAATGTGATTTGTTTCCTGATCTGTAGAATAGTATTGCCAGCACTTGGTAAGCTATGGCAGTTGTAAGCCAAAGCATTTGAAAGTGTTCTGTAGGCCCTCAGTTGATGTGTATGCTAATTCTATGATTCAAAAATATGTACAAATGTTGTACTACAAAGAAGTCTGATGCTCTAGTTTATAGCATCCTGAAATCTTAGGAGTTTTTTCCCTCAGATGGGCAGAAAAAGTTACAAAGATGTTCTGTTTGCTTACTGAAAAAAATACCTTTCATAGCTCCCTCATAATTTGATTTTTCTTAGGGTGGAACAAATGTGCATACAGATAAAGGAAGTTGGTGATCGTGTCAACTACATAAAACGGTCACTCCAGTCTTTAGATTCACAGATTGGCCACCTACAGGATCTCTCTGCTCTAACTGTGGATACTCTGAAAACACTGACTGCTCAGAAAGCTTCAGAAGCTAGTAAGGTTCACAATGAAATTACACGGGAATTGAGCATTTCAAAACACTTGGCACAAAACCTCATTGATGATGGCTCTCTAAGATCTTCTGTGTGGAAAAAGCACAGCATTGGAAATGTCTTCGGTTCTTTTCCTCAAGGAGGCCTTGAAAATAACAATGCTTTACTCTGTAGCATTTCGATACGTGATGACAAAGAAGTCCAGCATAAGACAATTGGTCAGGAATTGGCTCAAGTTGCCCGAAGAGAAGAAATGAACTTTCAAGAGGCAGGTTCCTCAGGCAGTGCCTTATTTTCCAATGTTGTTTCCCCTCCAGAACTTCGCCAGAGAATACAGGCTTCAGAGATCTCAAAATCCTCTAGTAGAAGTAAAAAATTAGGCAATTCATCTAACAGTATGCCACATGTAACATCCCCAACAGCTAAATTTTTTGTTAGCACTCCATCTCGTCCCAGTTGCAAAAGTCAGCTGGATTCTTCAACAAAGCATGAAGAGACTGTTTGTTCTAAGGCTACAGAAGGCGAAAATAATGTAGAATTTGGTGCATTTGTGGGTAAGTATAACAAAGTAGATTCTGAATGTCCTGAAGTCATAATTAGCTGCTCTTATCCTCTTGCTTCTGGCTCTGCTTGCCTTGCTTTCACTCAACCTTGTGTTGAAAATGGAGGATACATTAATTGTGGTTTTATTCATGATGAGAGTGACACTAATGATAACTACAGCTGCAGAGTTGACAAATGTGATCACCAGTCCTCTGTCAACTTATCGAAGAACAAACCCCAAACGAAGTTGTCTTTGTCAACTGGCGACTTGACATCAACAGTCAACGACTCACATGGAAAATTGAATGTTAAAGATGAACTTTCCAAAAGTCAGCATGTTCATACAATGGAACTACAAAACCAAGATTTATGTTCTAACATCCTTATGGGACTACTTCATAAACTGTGGACCAAATCTAAACCACAAGGTTTGACTTATCAAGAATTGTATGGTATTTTGGGTGTATTCCGGTTGCAGGTGACTTTATTCTACCATTTTGCTCTGCTTTTTTTGCTTTTAACATCTCTAATTTCCCTACGTTGCTTGAACATTATTATTATTTTTTAACTTAAAAATTATCACTTCTTTATAATTCTGCCACATAGACAATATTTTTCTAGAAAACATTAGCCAGTTGATGAGTATAGCAGTTTTATGCAATCAGCTGCTCTGCAACTTGGTATGGCCATTGTAGATAAACTTTGCAACTTATTATAAAGCTCTTTTCATTTCATAAATTTAAAAATATTGTCTATTCCTTGACTTAATTACAGAAGACTTCTTAGGCTGATGGAATCCTGGACAAATATCTTTGTGGTATCTGTGTCAAACTGAGGGATCCTCCTATACTGTGTTTCTAAACACTGTTGTAATTGGGATCTTCCACTGTTGCTATGTACTTTTTAGCAGTCCTTTCAGAAAGCTTCCAAAATTCTTTTATTAAATAACAGTGTTATGCCTCCCCTTAAATTTTGCTTACTACTAAAAAGTCGCATGTTTCTGGTTTGAATCTTCGTATTTGAATGGAAAAACAGTGGCAGATTCATTGCAAAATACAGGTGTGGGTTTACTAACCAATTTCTGTGAAATAGATAAAGCTTTAAGTAGGTTGAGTGTATGTGGAATTGTTAAGTTGCCTGTGGAAGTGTTGTCTTGCTCCAGTGCAGGGATGTCTCTATTTCAAAGATGTGTTGAGGATGTAAAATTTTAATTTTTAGACTAGAGTTTACTACTGTGAAACTTAAAATTCTATGATGATAGCTACATACATCATTTATAGATTTGTTACTGTAGGAAGAGTGTCTCTGCATTTGTACACACTAACTGTTTATAATTTTCTCCTGATTCAAAAGAATACCACCTCTCTTTTTTCTAATTCAGAAAGCAAGACTAAATAGATGTCATGAATTCAGTGACTGTATAAATCTATCTAATCTGTGAATGTACTTCACCACTAATAACTTTAAGTACTAACTATACTTATTTTACTGGAGCCAAATTTTTAGTGTATGGTTCTTTGACATCTAGCATTTAGAACATACTCTTCATTCTTACTGTCCAGATTTTATAAGACTACAGGTGCAGAGCAGCTTTCCATTATCAATATAAGCTGGCTTTCATTCATTACAAAGCCACATGCCTGGTAAAATCCTGGAGATTATTTCTTGCAACTGGGAGGATGAAGGGTATATTGTAAAAGCTACCTCATAAAACTGTCTGCTTTTCCTTCATTTATCATGGCTGCATAAAAGCACTGAATACAGACTATCTGGTTCCTTTCATGTGAGGAACATACACTTAGGTAAAATCTGAAAAAGTTAATTTCACATTTTGAATTGTGGTAGTCCATGCAATGTGGGAAAAGCAGTAGTTTTGTATTAATATTTTGTCACATCGATTTCACTGTGTTTGGAAAATGTTCTCTGGTGCATTCAGGCACACAGAAATTAGATGGTTTGTAGCCCTTTGTTATGCTGCAGACTATTGCCATGGTCAGGACATGGCCAATTGCCATTGATTTTAAATACTTTTTTCAATTCACTGTGTCAAAGGTCACAGAGACAGCATGGAGTTGCAGCGGTTTAAGGAGGCAGCAAGCAAAATTAAAGAAAGAAGTGCTGATATTGAGGTAAGCATGGAAATTTTTTCTTGTTTATTTTTTTTTATTTTAACTTCACTGTGTATTGAAAACGTCTTATGAACAAATACAGTGAAGAAATTTGTAAAATGCATCCTGGAAGGAATGCAGCTCTCTTACTGTAAGCAATTGAGTGAAAACTCATGCAGCCTTAAGCATGCATCAGGTATTGTTGCTTCATAATATGAAGAGAAGAACTTATGAAGCTGAAGTGAAATAACTGTAAATTAAAATTAAGATAAAATAAAATTAAATTAAATTTAAAAAAATGTCCCACAGTTAGTGGATGATGTTTTCAAATGAGACATTTGACACTTGAAAATTTCAACAGCAGCATTTATTTATAGTGATATTATACAGAGCAAAATGATAGTGTACCTGATTGAAGTAGTGACTGCAATTAAGACAAAAATCAATGTGATTTGAAGAAAAAAGCCCTTTTTGTTAAACTTATCTTCAAATAAATGATGTGTAATTATAGTTTGCTTAAATAAAATACAAATAACTACTGTGAAGTTATTAATCAGGACAAATCTGTATTCCAGATGCTTATAGTGTATATGTACACACATGCATGTTCATATAAAAACAAGGGTTTTTTATTTTAGTATTAAAATATTAAATCATTGGATCAACCATAGAATGGCTTGGTTACAAGTTAACTATTTAGTTACCCCTCATTTGGGGGGAGAGTCTGACTTGAGAAGTACCTAATGACCATTTGCACTGCCAATATTCTGCCAAGTTGCTCATTCTCTGCTTTCTGATAAGTATCACATGTGACCAAAAAGCTTTGTGTGTGTGAATTTTAGTGCTTCTATTAATAATGTTAATCATTTGCCTTTTTTTTTCTTTTTATTATTATTATTGTTTTTGATAGGAGCAACAGGAAGACTTCAAAAAAGCCATACTGGAGGGCATAGAGACTACCAGGCTGCAAGTAAGTAAAGAAGGTTTCCATTTATTAGAGACAGTTTTCAACAGATAGTGAATTTATTCTTTACAGTGAGCATGGGGAACTCTGTTTTTGTAGGTCATTTGTCTGTAAAGACATAATGAATTCTGGTAATTATTTAAAAAACAAAATAATGAAAAAGCAAAACTTAGGGGAAAGTTTGCCAACTGTGTGATGAGTAATTATAGTCTATTTTCAACAAAAAAATTGCAGCGTTTGCCTTTAACCAAGTGTCTTCACTTCACAAGTACGACGCATTAAAGTTGGGATATCCAGACGTTATGCATGAGTAATAGAATTTATAAGGAAGCACAGGCTGAAGAATCTTAAATAAGTGCAAATGGGTGGATTTCAGGCACAATAAAATAATTTGTCATACCTGTAATTCTGAGCCTTAATTTCTCTTTGGGAACTGTCATTTTTTCCTGAAAGCTTTGCTGTCAATCATGAGTTGGAAAACTGTGGTTGAGCCAGATTTAGCAAGTAGATACTCAGAAAGTAGGTAACTAAGAAATGTGTCCGTGAGAAGATTTGGTTCATAAAATGTAGATTTTTGTGGCAAAACTTACTTAAATATTTTTCTTATTTTCAGTGGCTTCTTTAAACTGAACTTTAATTTCCGTCTTAGCCAAGTTTTCAAATGAGAATAGATAATTAACGAAGACAGATGACAGACCAGCTGAATGTGATACTTGTAGAGATCCAGCATAACGTACATTTCTGCAATCGTATCTTAACATTCTCCTTAAAAATATTCTTTCAGAATAGATCAGTAGTCTTAATAAGTACCTGGAAATGTTAGAGTTGATATTTACTGTGAAGAGTGTTAGCTGAAGTAAGTTTGACTTCAGCATTTTTGTGCAGCAAGGTATTTGAGGTACATCCAGAAGTTTACAAAGAAAACTAGGCAGATTGCATGCTGAAAGAGTAGTAGCTGTGAGCTGATGTGTGTGTGTATTTCTTTTGTAGGGTCTTCAAACTGACAGTGGTCTTAGACAGTCTAGTTCTTGTGGTGGGTTTACTGACCCTTTGGCAGTCCATTCAGAACAATGTAAGTGTGCCATCTTTTGAGATGACCTATTTTTTTTCCACTCAGTTGTGTTGACAATGTATATTCCAGGAGGGTACAAAGGAGACACAAAAAGTTATGATTTTATGATTGGTGCCATTTGTTTCCTTGTGATAGATGTAATTATGCCAGCTTAATTCCTGTTACCTTGAGGTTGCCACAACAAATAGCCAAATAGTTGTAATAAGGTAAGCAATTTAGTCAGAACTGTGTTGGAAATTTATAACAGTCAGGTAGGCAAGTAAATGCAAATCTTTATTCAATTATAAATCTTTTCATTTATAGTACCCAGCAAGAGTAGAAGAGCATCAAGTGAAGACGCTCAGCAGGTAGACTCTAAAGCAGCTTTGCTGACGGTTTGTATTCTCTTCCTTTTGTTGTTACTGCTGTTGTTGTTGCTAATGTTGTCTAACAGAACTAGAACTGAAGGAGTAAAAGAAAAAGAAACAAAAGAATAATACTGATTTGTAGTCTTGTTCAAGGAGATAACAGGAGGGGAACTGTTTTGACTGAGAGAAGTTTTGCATATTCTCCATTACGTACTGTGATTATTCTTACTATGAAAATACTTGTTCCTTCCTGTTTAAACAAGCCCTTTTGTTTAAAAATAAAACTGTTTATATGATCTGTATTTAAAAAAAAAATGAATACAGCCTTTTTTTTTTTTTTTGTCTTTACAATTCCTTACATCTATTTGAATATTTCCACCCACCTACAGTACAGCCTAATGGAATCTTTCCAATAAACACACTGCACTGCAAGATCTTAAAACATATAACTCTCTCACCCCCCAAATTAAATATACTATGTTCTCCTTACAAAACTGAAACAAAAAAAGTTTATTTGTTTTTTCATTTTTTTCCCCCCTTTGATTTAAAGGATTGGTTGCAAGGTAGACCTTCAAGTAGCAGTCAAATGTAAGTAACTTTGAGTAGTGGAGAAGTTCCATTACTCTCTATATGTATTCTTTTTGGTTGTTGTCTTTGATTGTAGTGGTATTTTGTTGTGTTTAATGAAAAAACAAGGTTTAAGGATTTTTCTAATAAATAACTGAATGTGTTCACTGGAATGCTATGACAGGTTCTATTTAAATTAATGGGGTCACATCAAAGGGCAAAACATGTTCTTACATGAAAATGTTTGTACTGACACTTATTTGGGTGCTAACTTCCAGGTGAAGGTCTTTTCCCAACCTTTAGAACTTGTAAACCTTCTCTGAAATTGTGCAGTCATTGCTGTTGTTAACAATTATCCCCTGAGTTAACTGTTAAAACCATTACCTTATTAATCTGATAACAGAAGTGTTAACTGTTGTGAACACAATTTAATTAAAGCACTTCTGTGAAAATGAGCTTTTGTGATGCAAGCTTTGCGTAACATTGTACGTGACTGGTAGTATTTAAAGTATAGCTCTAAAGCTGTGAGATTACTTAACAGCCTTCCATTACCATTTTGTAATTAAGCAGTAGTGCTGCCCTTGAAAAATGGGGTAAAGGCACTACTGTCAGCTTAACAAGGTGACCTAGGATGATGTGTTAAAATTGGTGAATGTAAGGCAAGTTTTTAACAAACAGTAACCAGTTGCTTTTTTGGCATTTCACAGGGCATCTGAAGAAGATGCATTGAATGGTATGTTGACTGTTTCTTCTATAAACAAGCTAGGAGCTTTTTCATATATACACCATGTGAGAATATTCTTTGAAGTTAAGAGACAGCTGTAATTACTTTTTTAACGAATAGCAACAAATACCAGGTACTACAGTTTCTTCTGATGTATTGAAAAGCTAAATGAGATACTTAATTTTCTGCATAGCAAATCTTTTTCAGACCCTAACCACTTGGAGAAAGTGAGCTTTGTGCATGGTTATTTTAATACACAATGCGGGTATCAGGCAGTTTCTCTCATCATTTCTGATCTCTCTCAGGCATTGCTTCTCCTTTCAAGCCTATCATGGATATCAACTACTATTACTCAGGTCAGTGCCTCTTATGAATAAATGTTCATGTTTTTAATGACACTTATTAGATCATTAGAATCTGATGAATACTGTTATTTTTTTTCTAGCTGTAGAAAGAAATAACTTGATGAGGTTATCACAGAGCATTCCTTTCACTCCTGTGCCTCCAAGAGGTAAGAACTGTAATTCTTGCTAGTGGGTAGAGGGAAGAGGGTCAGAGTTCAAACAGCTGGCTTAATGTAGTCTTTTGGAGAAGAAAACAAAAAACAAACCATGTCCAGATTTCTTGTAATATAGAATGATCAAGCCAAATTTCACACTTAGTTGTAGCAACTTGAATGTAGATAGTAGATCTGAAATAGTACCTGTTTTGCAACACTCAAAAAATAAATGAGTGTGACACATTCTCTAGAGCAGCTCATTTGCTTATGAAATCTAGATCTAACTGTGCTTGTCTTCAGAAATGGTGGCAAATTTTTATGAAAAGCTATTCTGGAAGGACTCCTTTATGTTAAGAATTGTTTTGATTTGTTTAAAGTGCATATAAACATTTGTTCAGTGTTCTTAATGTAGTTTGAACAGAATGCTGTTTAAATAGGGTCATTAGTAGTTCTAATCAGGGGATCAAAACATTATGCCTTTATGTTGCTGTATGAAAGAAATTGGAAAGAAATTCTGGCTGGCTTGTTTAGATTTTTTAAAATTAACTTAGAGCATTAGTAACAACTTCACATGTGTTGCAATCTAAGAACACAGAGATATTCAGTGCTTCAATTTTAAACTTTAAAAATTAAAGGTGCTACTTGCTTTTTGTATTGTAAATAGGTGAACCAGTCACTGTGTATCGCCTCGAAGAAAGTTCTCCCAACATCTTGAACAACAGCATGTCTTCCTGGTCACAACTGGGACTCTGTGCAAAAATTGAATTTTTAAGCAAAGAGGAGATGGGAGGAGGTTTACGTCGAGCTCTTAAAGTTGTGTGCACATGGTCAGAATATGACATCCTGAAATCAGGACATCTTTATATCATCAAGTCTTTCCTTCCTGAAGTTGTGAACACTTGGTCAAGCATTTATAAAGAGGATACTGTGTTACACTTGTGCTTGAGAGTAAGTTTTATTCTTGTCATTTACTGAACATAGACAAGCATCATATTTCAGCTAGCTTGCTGTTCTCTGTGAGCTAACGGGCCAAACAAACACACAAAAAACTGCTCCATTATGGTTTAGTTAAAGCTAAAAATCTTAAAGTGTAAATGTAATTGAAAAAGCAATTTGGCAGTTACTGTTCTCTCTGCCTTTTTAACTGTATAATGTTTCCTGTTATATAATACAGCAATAAAATATGGGCTTTGAATTCTAGGAAATTCAGCAGCAGAGGGCAGCACAGAAGCTCACCTTTGCTTTCAATCAAATGAAACCAAAATCCATTCCTTACTCTCCACGGTGAGTACTCTTGAACTTCTGTTTTTGATGTTTGATTGTTTGCATGTTTTTGATATAGAAAAACGCCTACAGAGTTGCGGACATGTCAGTCAAATATATTAAGGTGTTGATATGTGTGTATATATGTCTTTGTTATTAAGAATGTAACAAACACGTTTTTATTGATATTTTCTTGCAGTAATTCTAGGCTTGTGTGATAATATATGTGACTTGGCATAATAGTTTCAAATGTTCTAAATAAGTAGATAAAATAATTATCCATTAGTAATGGTATGCTTTTCATTTATTTTGGAAATATGTTCATTAAGTATGCTTTTTACTAGGTTCCTGGAAGTTTTCCTGTTATATTGCCACTCTGCTGGGCAGTGGTTTGCAGTTGAAGAGTGCATGACAGGAGAATTTAGAAAATATAACAACAACAATGGTGATGAAATAATTCCAAGTAACATGCTAGAGGAGGTTATGCTAGCTTTCAGCCATTGGACATATGAATATACAAGAGGGGAATTGCTTGTACTAGACCTGCAAGGTAATGTCCCTGTTTTGAAACTGGGGTCGAGGACCAGGGAAGATGTATATGGGATGATTCTCACAGAGTCATGGTATATCCTGGGTTGGAAGGAACTGATAAAGACCACTGAGTCCAAGTTCTGGACTCACTTGTAATTGCATGTTATTAAGACTTCATATGCTGGTAACAAATAATGAACAGTATTTAGTGTGTCTTGATCTAGTTAGTCTGGTGAGCTTATTGAGCATGGCACTGAATGCTACAGCACTAAAGAAAATATAAGTGTACACCAGTTTTACTATGATAAGCACCATAAAAATAATACGTTTGTAAACACATTTGAGTACTAGTAATATAGCAAGCTGTGCTTATACTGAATTGTGTGCCAAATATTCTGTCTGTGAGAAGTTCTATGTAAGAAATTTCTCTCAGGTGAAAATTGGTTAAGAATTGTAGACATAAAAATAGGTGAAGGAAACCTGAGAGGTACAAACTACTTAGGAGCAATTCATGTAAGAATAAAGAGTGTCCTATACCACGTGATTCCTTCTGCCTTCATGCTTGGGAAAGCTGAGAAGTCATAGCTGACAATGCCAAGGCTTTTCAATATTAATGCACTGATGTAATATATAGATTTAACTGTTTCTTCCTGTGCTGTCTGAAGGTGTTGGTGAAAATTTGACAGATCCGTCTGTGATAAAAGCTGGAGAAAAAAGGTAAGATTGAAGAAAAGTTTAAAGAACAATTTTTTTTTTTTTTCCCCTGGAGAACACAGCCTATGTTTATATGCCCTTTATTTCGAAGGTCTTATGATATGGTGTTTGGTCCAGCCAATCTGGGAGAGGATGCGATAAAAAACTTCAGAGCGAAGCATCACTGTAATTCTTGCTGCAGAAAACTTAAACTCCCTGGTAAGGGTGGCTACTGTATTTTTTCTGAGACACTTATGTATAGTGTATGATGTATAATTAAACAGTTGTGTCATGCCATGAAAGTAGATTAAGTAATAAATGTCAGTTTTGTATTTCTACTTTTAAAAAGATATTCCATTTTAAGAAAAAAAAATCTGAAATTAAGGATTTAACAGTGTGCTTGTGTTCTGTATTTGTGCACAATATTTGAAGTAGGTAGGCTAGACTGATGTAGAATTCAGAAGGTAAAATAGAAAAGGTCATTTAAAAAAAAAATCATAGAATCATAGAACCATATTTTTAAGAGACTACTAAATGTCATCTAGTCCAACTCTCTCTACTGAATTGGGTTACCTGCAGCTAGATCAGGTTGCTCAGATCCTGGTGCAGCCTGACCTTGAGTGTCCCCAAGGAAGGGGCCCTCACCACCTCTCTGGGCCAGCTGTGCCAGTGCCTTACCACCCTTATTGTAAAATCTTCTTCCTTATAACCAATCTACATCTCCCTTCCTTTAGTTTGAAACCATTTCCTCTTGTCCTCTCACAACAGACCTTGGTAAAGAGTCTGTTCCATTCTTTCTTACAGCCTCCCTTTAGATACTGAAAAGCTGCTCTTGGGTCTCCCTGGAGCCTTCTCTTCTCCAGGTTGCACAGCCCCAGCTCTCTCATCCTGTCCTTGTAGGGAAGATGTTCTATCCCTTGGATCATTTTTGGGGCCCTCTTCTGGACATTATTTGAATTATAATTCCTGGTAAACTTGAAACAGATGATAGAAGAATCCATTTTCCTTTAAGAATCAACCTAATGCTTGCTATATAATATCTATAAGTAGTATAATTAAGGCCCCATTACTTTTTAAAGCAGAGCTTTAGACTTCACATTATATGTATGATAAAAAACATCCACTTTTAGCACTGAATGCATATTGAGGAATTCTTACTTACAGGTACAAGTCTATCCAGTTATGTGAAAGACTTTTATACTTCTTTGAGTCTGCTCTACAAAGAGATAGTAACCAATATGACTTCATTTTGTTTGTACAGATCTGAAGAGGAATGATTACACACCTGACAAGGTTATATTTCCTCAGGATGATTCCCCTGAACTAACAATTCAGCCTGGAAGCTGCACCAAAGAATCAGATTCAGCTAATTCTCTTCGTTTGATGCTCTAATGATGTGATCAAATGAGTGGCTTCATCCAAACTTCATGGAATGTCACAAAGCTGTCACTTATCTTTCCTTCACCACAATTAAAAGAAAGATGCATCAAAGCAAGGATTATTGTGTTATAAGTGAAATTTTGGCTGGTCCATATTCTAAGGACCTAACAACTTGTGATAACCACCTACAGAGAACAGATTGGCAGCTGGTTGTTTTAGAGGTTGAATTATGATGAGTATTTATGGTATGTTTTTAAAAGGGGCTTTTTAGCAGAAGGTTTATTTTTTATTTTGTTTTGGTTTAGTGGAGGATTTTCTCTCCGTAGTCCTGTGGTGTGCAATATGCCTTCAACCAAAAGGATTTTGGTAGCTGATGTTTTAAGGTAAAGCATTTGTCTGTTTGGCAGCTATCTTACTGTCATTTGGAAAAAGATTGGAGAAAGCACCTACCTCTGTGATGCCAGAGTATTCTTGGAGTGTGTTTGGAAGTGTTCCACTATCACTTTCTCACCAGATGACTTGTAATCTGGCCTTTTGGAGAGGGCAGAGCTAAACGAGGGTGTGTATGTGGTGCCATTAGGCTGAAGTTGAAGGTAGGAACTTGATCTGTTCCAATAGAGAGAGAGTCTCCTGGATCAGGATTCAGCTTTGTAGCTGTAAAACTGTTTATTTTTTTTTTGTGGAATAGAGCCCTAATTGTGCATAATGAGATTTCTTGTTTTATACATTTCAGTTTTCTCACATCACCATCAAATAGTAACAAACAAAGCCATGATAGACTGGTATAATCATATTTAATAGAAGAAGTAGTATGTACTGGTCCAAATAAGTTGCCTTGTGAGAACACAAGTTGGAAGTGCTTTTTGTTGTACATAGTGACTGCTTCAGAAGTTTTGCCTTCCAAAGATCTCATCAAACCAGTGTATCAAAGCTGAATGTACACGTAACTTTTAAATGTATTTAAAATTGTGTAGAAAACATCTTTAATGTTATGTTATTTGTGGTACTTATTTAAGAGAGACTAGGGTTGGATTAGCATTATGTAAAGTATGGGAGATTGCAATGCACCTTCATGCAAATAAAATATAATATAACTGTCCCAAATATTGTTGAGCATTCAGCAAGAAAAACCTGTTGTCCAACTGAAGTTTCATGCTGCGATTTTTTTGTTACATAGGTACTAATTTGTAATTTTTAATTAAAAGGGCAGTATACAGCTCTATAAATTTTTTTATTCAGTAGTGTATCTTATAGATACAGACTTAAGGCACGAACACAATAGCTGTTTAAATGGTGTTTTATGTTTGACGGGGAAAGGTAAAATGTTATAAGGATATGATACTGTATACATTTTGTATATCATTAAATCTTCAAAGAATCTAAAATAAATTTATTCTTGTTTACAGACTTCTGCTGTCTTTTTTAGTCTGAAAGGTTATTTGGGTGAATCTGATGGCTCTGTATGTGGAAACAGTGTTTGCTGTGCTGGGACACTTTGTCTTTGAGGTATCTGAGCTTTGGCTGACACCAGAAACTAGGGGAGTAAATGTGAAAGCTGTAGTGCACAAACATATGTAATAGGATTGATGAGTAAATGAGATAAAATATCTTAAAGTAGTTTATAGTGTTTGTTTGAAATTTGGAGCTCCTTATTGGGTGGTTGCTTGCATCCCCTTGTGTTGTTGTGAGGTGATAGGCATCTATTCAAGGCAGTAATTACACCTCTTTATTGCCAAATTGTTAGGCAGGTAGAAACAGCATACAGTGCATTAGTGAGGCTAGTTCTTAAAATCAAGAAGGATTTCTGGAGGAAACCAAAAGGGTAAATAAGGTCAGGCAATGTATGTATCACTTGGAGTGGTTAACAGTGGTTAACTGTGCATGTTTTTGTACATCTCCCTGCCATGAGTGCCAGCTTACTGACATTACAGCTAGAATTACATGAGAAACCTCAATGTAAACCGAGGAGAAAACAATGGCAACTTTTACATACAATCTTCTCTTTCATGATAACAGAGAACAATTAAAAATGTGAGTGTCTTCCAAGAAAGGCATTGCAAAGATGTGGTGGCAAAGAAGTGTTGGTTTGAAGAGGTATCCTAACCCTCAGGAAAGTATCGTCATGGTCATGTTTTGTTTTCCAAAAGTAGGCTGTAGGACCACGTGGGTTTGGCTGAGAACACTGAGTGTCTTTAAATCTTACCAACCTTGACATGCATTTCCATGTTATGCTATTTGAAGAATGTCTTCCATAATTGAAAATTGGTAAGCTACGTTCTTTTCCTTGTTAGATATCTTAAATTCCCTACCACAAACCTCAGGATAATTTCACTGGTAGAAAAATCCACTGAATTAAACTGATTATGATGTACTTACATGCTGGTGTTACTTGGTTATGTAATCTCTGCTTTTGGAAAGATTTCTGATTATTATTATTATTTTCTTTTTACAATTAATGTTTTTCCCGTAGGTGGCACAGATGCGAGTTTCTGTATCGTGTTAGTGCTAAGAATATAAAAACAAGTATGTATCTATAGTGTAATCAAGGTCTTCATTTGCATTCCACCAATAGTAGGAATAAGTACAGGAATAATGTTTATTAAGATTTCAGTACAAATTCTATTCTAGCTGCATGACAATTGTTATAGGTTAAATTTGTCTTGCATTGTTTCCCAGCAGTGGTTTCAAAAAGCATTTTCTTTTTCAGTGTTGTCCTCAGCCTGTGTATGACCACAGTACTTGCTGTTCAAGACATTACCCTGCTCTTGATCATTTTCCCTCTGTAACACACAAGTAATATACAACAAGTAGAAGCTGAAAAAGCTGATTAGTTTGTAGTAACATTGTTCCCAGAGCTGTATAAGAGGAATCAATTACTCATTTCTTCCTTTTATCTATTTTTCTCAGTTTGTTGTACAGCATTACATTTGTTTCTGTTGCTCTTAACAGTTCCCTGTGCTCACACTTGTCATTAATGGAGTGAGATTAAGACAAAATTCCTTCATATCAACCATGGTGGAGCAGAACTGAAGTGCATCAACTTACTGTGAAATACTGTACTTGTGTGCGCTCATGCTGAGCGTTTGGGGGTTGTAACTTATTTTTGTGTATTTGCTTTTTTAGTGCCGGGGATGAGAATGTTGGTACGGTAATGGGAGCTTGCCAGGAAAATCAAGGAGCAAGTTCCTGACATGGAGACTCACGATGACACAGGCAGGAAGGGTAAGCTATGCAGGCATATAGGGATAATTGCTTTTTCATTACTAAATTTGAACTTTCTCTCATCATTACTTAACCATGTAGAAGTGTAAATATACATCTGTATGTGTAGTTACACTACTACCATAACTACTGCTAATACAAAAAAAAAAAAAAAGAAAAAAAGGTCTGGACAGTGCTTTTCCATGTTACACTGGATATTAGGAAGATAATAGCAATAAATTATTTACTGTGAGGGTGGTGACACACTGGAACAGATTGCCCAGCAAGGTCATGGATGCCCCCTCCTTGGTAGCATTCAAGGTCAGGCTGCGTGGGGCTTTGAGCAACCTGGTCTAGAGGGAGGTGTTCCTGCCTAGAGCAGGGGGTTGGAACTGGATGATCTTAAAGGTCTCTTCCAACCTAAACCATTCTATGATTCTTGGATGATTCTGTGTTTGTGCCGTGCTGCCATACTGTTGTTTGTGCTCAGCGTAGGATACAGGTGGTTCTATTAGTAGTAGCAGAAGTGGAAGCAAAAGTGCAGCAGTTGCTGAAGGGTGTTGTAGAGTAGAAGGACCAGGGAAAGTGGCCTTTTGGGCAGCAGCTGGAAAACTCCTCCTAGCAGGAAGCTTTGACGTCAAGACAAATGGCAGTGATTGTTTGCTGAGACTGAAACTTCTGACGTTCCCTTTTCAGAAGACGCGCAGCAAGTGGCAGCCGCCTCTCAGTGTCTGCACAAAAACGGAATTAACTAAGAACAGAAGCATCCCTTTCAAATTATGGTAGGCAGCTGGAAGCTTCCCTCCTGCCCTTGCTGCAGTTGAGCAGCAGATCTCGTGTTGCAAACTTTGGCTAGTATTTTGTATCTTGTGGGGTTTTTTTGGCTTTTTTTGTTGTTGGTGGTGGTTTTTTTTTGCATTTTGTCATTCTCCAGCCTCTGCCATAGCTGCAGCTCAGCCCCTTCCATATGTTTGGATAAAAAGTCTGACTTCTGCCATCTCCCATTGACGTCCATTAGTATGGTCTTCTCTTGAGTCCACATGAAAAAATACTGTTTCTTCTAAGTAGGTCTGACTTAATATTTGTATTCTGTGCTTACTGTGCCCCAGTAAGGTGTTGTGCTGCAGGAGGAGGGAGGCTTCTAGCTCTGTGGAATGAGATTTCTGAGCAGCAGCCTGTGCTGGGGGGTCACGTGGGCAACCCCCATTGTGTGAATGCAATCCTGCAATGCCTTTGCAGCATGTCACTGCTCATGGAGTATTTCCTCTCAGGAGAATATGAAACAGCCCTGCACAAGTGAGTTGATTCACACTACTGTTATTTTTCTCTCCTTCCAAACACTACGTGTTGCAGTGAGGACGCTGGAGGAAGTCACCTACCAGCTCCCCACCAGCCGCAGATGTTGTCTGGCCACAGTCAGGTTTTGTCCTTCCTCCCATGTCACTTCCAGCATGTCACTGCTCCTCTGCTCCTCATCAGCTTCCCCTTTCTGTCAGCAGTGACCTGCACTGTCTGTAGACAGAACTGCCTTTATTTGGAACTTCCTGTTCCAAATGGTTGGAAATCCCAGACCAGAGCCAAACTCTTCTGACACTTCTGTGCTACTGAGGAGACTTGGTTCTGTTTGGGAACACTGCCAGAGCACCCTCACCTGTCACTGCTGTTTCCTTCACCCATCGTCCCTCATATCATCAGTACTCTGCCTCTGCAGATACCACCCATATGTTTCCTTGCTAGGTATCTTAAGTGTTATGCTTTTTTTTTTTTGGCCATTTTATAGTAATACCAGTAACTGTCATCGCTGTCTTCACATTTTGTTACTTTCCAGTATCTGCAGTCTCTCAAACCAAATGACAGAGGCCATCTGAAATGTGTTTATTCTTCCCAAGAGAGAATGGCAAATCTGCAACCACCTTTGGCTGTTCCGTGTCTGATGTATGGCTGAGAGAGCTCAACTGCATTTCCCTGGAGGGTTTTGTTCAGTCCTTGGGGAGCAATGCCCAACTGTCAGCAAGAGGACTCAGTGGGATGTGCAGAAGTTCATATGCATGCTGAACGAGCTCCATGAGGCCCTCAAGAAGGTAAGAGTGCAGCTGTGATGTGTTGGAGGCTGTTAGTTTCCTCTGCATTTGTACTTCAGCACTTCATGTCATAATCACCAGTTCTCCTCTTCCAAACTGCATGATATGGCTGCTAAAATTGTCATTTTCCTCCTTTGTTTCATACTCACATACACACAATAACTCATTAGCTTCTTCTAATGCCATGTCAAATTGCAGCCCCTCATCTAAATGCTAATGCTGCCTGTGCCTCTTCCCCCCCTGCCCTTTCCGTGCGTTAAGTTCTTCCTTTTCATCTGCCCACAATGTTCCTCTGTGGAACGTTGCCTCTGTTTGCTCTTCTCTTCCTCAGTCCCCTTAGAAACAGCTTTGCTAGCAGTTAAATCATCCCACCCACATGTCCGAAATATTAAATCTTACAGCAGCTTACTTTATGCTCCATATACACAGATTAAACTGAAGTAATAGCATTTCAGCTTGTCACAAAACTTGACTCTAAACAGCCTGTGGGCAGCAGGCAGCTGCTCCATTGCAAACCCACTCTGCTCTTCCACAGAAGTTAGCTCCACACTGCTTAGATGACCTGGTAAACTGGGCAGGCACCATGGGTCCTTCACCCCGTGTTGGACTTGGCTTGGTGCTATGAAGGGAGCTGGCAGGGCAGAGACCTCCAAGCTGCTAACACCAATATTGTAACAGTGAGGGGAAGATAATTCCCCCAACAGAAGAGAATAGCTGCTGGGTGGGAAGAAGCTTTTGTAGGGAAGGGTAGGCTTGAATCTGAGAAGACAAAAGATGAGATCAATTATTTCTTTCCAAATAACCAGAGTATTGCTAAAACTACAAAAAGAACAGGATTTTGTACAGAGTTCGCTGGTGACCAATTATTGCATTGCAAATGAACGTTCTCCCCTGCATCACAGTAATGGCAACTTTCATTATGAACTGTGTCATTCAGCTGAAGTCTTGGCAATAAGCAGCACTGAACACTGCAGGTATAGCAGTACATGGAGATGCTTGCAGTGGTCCTAGCATGATACAGATCTCATTCGTTCTCAGCACCTTTTGCAGGTTAAGCCACTTTAAACATTTGCTTCTCTTGTGACCTTAAATCACTGAAGGAACTTCTGAAACAGCTGGCTACTTTTTCATTTTTTACTTTTATATAGCCAAGCTCCCGCTGTGGAACAAAGGAAGAGTTGTAGTCAAGGCCACACAGCTGAGGTGCCAGAGGTAGACTGTACCTCTTTAAGTGAGAAGTAACTATATGGGGTGAGCCAGGGCTGTTTCCTGGGATTTATGAAATAAGAAGGATATTGTCAACTGCTCACATTATGAAAAAAATGAAGAAAAAGTTCTCTGGAGTAGTTGGGCTTCACAGAACTGTTATATGAACTAGTATTTAATTTCTTGTTCAGCATTTGCCTGCCCTGCCGTGCTAAAACAGCCTTCTGGTCCTCAGCTATAGCTTTGGCCACATTATGGAAGTTTAGAAGTATGCTGTATACTGAAAGTTACAGAGGAAAAGAGGGATGGAGTCTGGCAAGAAAGGAGAGTTGACAGTGCAGTCCAAAACATTCAAGGGATGGTGACAGTGACACAAAGGTTTGATTTGTCTGCTTTTAATACCTGTGTCCACTTCTAATAGATGGAAGGATCAGACAGCAAGATCTTTGCTTTTCTTGCCAGACATCATTTGCAGGCACGTGTGTTTGTCAGTTGATGGCAATACTCAATATTAACACAGATCTATTTCAGAGCCCAGCATAGCCATGAGGCATTCTCCCCCTCCCCCAGTAAAGCCAGTTTAAGAAAACACAATAAAAGAAGTTGAATGTTATTTAAAATAGTTCAAAATTTTATTTCAAGTTTGAGTGGCAAGGCAACTACAAAAGGAAACTCTTCACTGACATCTGCTATCCACTCAGCAATACAGATCTCTCTCCATATAGTTACCCATTTTTCTGCAAGAATTCAGGTACAGCTTGTGTGCTCTAATGTTGAGCTTTGCCTTTCCTACTTCTGTGTGTAACACCCTGTCCAGTGTAACAGATAAAGCCTGGGTTTGTTTGGACTTAGAGCTGCCTCTGATCCAGGCACTTAAACATCCAGCAGTTTGGAAAGCACACAAACATACAAAAACCCCAACAAAACACCCAGCACCTCCCACCGCTCCCAGTTTGGTCTACAAATACATCTGGTAAACTGAAGTTTCCTGAACAAAACCATGACTACCTGAACACATTTTTCATCAGGAAGTGGTACACCCTAATGAAAAAAGGGTGCTTGGTTTCTTTTAATTGTAGTTAGAGCACATGAAAGAAATGGTCCCTCTTTCCTTGACTAATCATCTACCATGTTTATATAGTTGATGTTGGAATTTTATTACTGACCACTGTCGACCTAAATTAAGCATCCATTGAGAGAAATGCACAACAGCAGAATCCAGGTAAGTTTCATCTTCAGCCAGAGATACAGTAGTCACAGTATGTAACCAAACAGAGAAGTTAGTTAGCACCTCTCTACCCTTCTCTCCACATCCCAGTTTTAAAAAGCACGTGTTCCTGGCAGCAGCCTCCTCAGCCTTTTCTGCACAAACTGATCCTATGTGCCCATAAATAAGGATCAAGTGGGCTCTTCTGTCACTCTCTGCTTATAGTGACCTGTACTGGGGGCCAACACCTGGGTTTCGCATTTAATATTGCAAAATAGGTAAGCATGATAGTAATCTATGAAGTGTTTCTTTGCTCTGTTTTAAAGCATTTCTTAGAATTAATATTCCTTTCTGCAGCCCCAAAGGAGAATCTTCTCTTGCCTCCTTCAAGTGCAAACAAAAGACAATTGCCAAATCTCAGCTTTGCCTGTAAGGAGAGTTTTAACAGACTGTGCTGTCTGTTACAGAACTACTCTGGCACTCTGCAAGCACTCAGTCACCAACAGCTCACACAGCTTTGATAATCTGCAGATCACCAAGATCCTGAACTCCTCAGTGCAGTCTGACAGAGCTGATCACCTGCTGTACACCTGTCAGGCCTTTTCTGCACCCACAAATAGTCAACAGCCATGAAAAGCCAACAGTGAGTATAGAGCACTGCCGTTAGAACTCATGCAGTATTAGCTACATTCTGTTCCATCATTAAATTGGAGCATTCATATTACCTCATCATCTGCTGCAGACTTCCAGGAAATAATTTCTTAAGAGAAGTCTGGAAGCTTCCAAGTGTGCTAAGGAACACACATCCACTCCCTTTGTCTAAGCTCTGATGTTTGTTTTCCACAACAAACTTCACAGACCCCTCAAAAGAGTAGAACTGCTGAGCATGCACATGTGCTTACCTGAAGGTTCCCGTTTCTCTGTTGGTTATGTATGCATGTAGACAGATAGGAATTTGGATTGTAGGATTTAAGATTTTTGAATGCCAGTCTAATCAGAGAAGGAAAACCAACCCAATTCCAGACCAGGACAATGCACAAGATTGAAATCAAACAGTTTCTAAACTAACTAGTTCTACAAAAAGTAGCAGTCTCTTCATCTGAAGAGCCTTTAAACTGTGTGAATGACTCAGACTGTCATTTTGTAGAACCCTGACCCTTACAAAACCAGCAGAGAATGAAAACAAACCCAAACATATGTTTAACAGGATATATTTTTAAATCATTTCTTAAGGTTTTTAATGCATGTATACATGAAAATTTATATTAAAAAAATTAAAAAGGAAAGTCTTGTTTGTTTAGAGTAACTCTGAAGTGCACAAATATTGACAAAAGCTAACAAAAAAATACAGCTCTGCTTTTTTTTCTTTTAAATAAGTTGTGTTGCAGTTACTTAAGAGCTGGCAAATTAAGCAATCCTCTGAGTTTTAGAGTTTCTCACAAAAAGGACAACGTTTTATTATATACATAGTTCTGATGTGCAAGTATGCAATCAATATGTACACTTACATTCCTAACTGTTTACATCATTCTAGAGTATTCACAGTAGAATCAAGCTTAAGGTTAGAAATGTGAAAAGGCCATAACAGTGAAAGAATGAAGATAAAAATCAAGATATGCCTTGGGAATTTTAGACATTTTCAGCTACTTGTTAATAGAGTTCAGATGACTAAGCTAGAATTTGATTTTGGAGCAGACTAAAAATATAGTTGTTTTTTTTTAATAAATGGTAATGCAAAGTATGCTTTAAATGGTTTCACAGATGGCAGTATTACCACAAGCATTATTAATCACTCATTTAAGCAGTAGTACTGACCATAAAGAGCTTGCTTGCAGAGAAGCTGCTGCAACCATCCCCATAACTTTAATGACTACATCTGCCATAGCTTTGCATGTTCATTTGCCTTCCCATAACTACTTTGTTCTTATAAAAAGAAAAACAGTTTTCTTAACCCATATTAGTTTATGTGGCCATATCCACTGCTCGTTGTTCGTAAGAAGTGTAGAAGAGAATGTATGCAGCTGAGGATTTCACAGATGATGCTGAGATCTCAGATACTTCATGGTCATCAAACTTAAACCAGCGCTGTTTTGAGGCATTTTTGCAGTAGGCTGTGTAGTGCCCTCCATCCAACCCCCCATAATGATTCTGTAAATGGAAAAAGAGAAGGAAAAATTGATGGCTTTGAAAGCTTCCATTTCTTACCTGGTCAAGAAAAATGAAGTAGAATATGAGATTCTAAACTAAATACTGATCATTCATTTTAGAACATAAGTTCTTTTGGTCTCTATGGTTGCAAATAAAGTCTTAGCGCAAAGATTGCATGACTTGAAATGTGAATTACTTACTGATACTGAAAACAGATTGTATCTCTTCAAATTATTCTTTGGACCAATAACATACTGTGAAAGGTCAAGTGTTTCCAATGGGAAATCTACAGAGGTCTGAAGCTTTTGCTTCCATCTTCCATCATAGGAAAATCTATAGGATTAAAAAGCATTGTTATAAGTCACAAGTCATTCACAAGCTATTTAAGCACACATGTTAAGCCATATGTGAGTTTTCCCTGTTTTTAACCCAGGTATGGTATCAACTAAAAATTAAACTGTTTCACAAACAGCTTATGCTCACACACGTGCTTCTGAGCATAGATGAGAAGAAATTGCTTGTAGAAGTGCTTTGTGAAAACAGCCCAGTAAATGAGACATCAGGTGAAAATGCAGTTCTTGTGTCAATGAAAGTGGAAATTCAACTGGAACTTTCTCCAATCAAAAATAGTGAATGACTGCACTAGAACAACCAATCTTCATCAAATCCTGGTCATTTCATCCTAATTAATTTCCACTAATCATTATTTCACTTACCGTTTCAGGTGCACGAGAAGCACAGGTGGTAATTTCCAAATTTCTATTTTTTTCAAGGAATCCCTTCGAGTTTTGCAATGGCTACAGTAAAATCTGTTGTTATCGGTGAGCTTTTCCTCTTTGGAGAACAATCTAAGGCATTCCTTAAAACAAGAGAACACAAGTATGGATTGTGAAGGACGGGTATTTAAGATAATGGAGTTGAAATGCTTATTTCCTATTTGCTTGTTAACTTGCAGCACCTTGCTTGTTATCTGCACACCATGTTTCACACAGGTGATGAAAATGGAGTTAAATCCACCTGTGAAACTTTTACTGCATGTGTTAATTGTTTGCCAAATCTTCATAGTATGCCTACAATATTTAAAGAAACAAAACAAGCACAAAACATTTATAGTGTGACCGAGCAAATACTAGATGTCTTTTCTGACACTGTGATTTCAATATTTCCATCCTGCTTGTGTTTTAAAATACTTATGATCTTTTTTTAATTTAGAAGAATTAAACAGTAATAGACTCAGATCTGTCATTGTTTCAGGTTGGTGTAAATTAAGCTGGAACATTGAAAACTCCTTTGGCAAGAGGCTGAGCACAGAATTAAAGAATGGAATTGAAAGGAACCTCTGGAGGCCATCAGGGCCACCTCCTGCTGGTTGTCCAGGACCACATCCCTGTCCAACAAGGGAGACTGCACAACCTCTCCGGGCAGGGTCATAGCAAAGTCAAAGAGAAATGTTTTAATGTTTGTCTCTAGTGTCACCTTACCTGCAGTGTGCATTTACTGGTGGATGCAAGCGGTAAGGACAAATACATGAAAGCCTCAAAGGTCCGGGACTTCTTGTGACATGTGAGACACTGCACTGTTGATTTGAACTGGCCTTGGAAGAGTGCCACAATAATGGATTCGTTGAGCTGTTTGTGCTTCTGCCAGGCTAGTTCTGCTGCTCTGAGGTCATCGAGATGATCGTTGTTTTCTTCCTTGTATCTTTTCCTGTTGTCAGCCTGTATAACAGATGTTGGAATACCTTAGCCATATATTAACATACATTAAAAAAAAAAAAGGAAGAATATATGAATGACATTCAAATGTGTCAGGATAGCCATCTTCCACAGGTTCCTTCCACTACTGCCATCAATATTTAGCAGATCTACGACTTGTAATGCATACTGCTTACTTTATTGAGGTCTTCGTGCAAGCCATCCATTAGAAAGAGAAGCAGCTCCTGGGAGTCTTGCTGGCTATATCCTGCAAACTGGTCATTAATCTTCCCAATTGTAATTTTGAAGTCTTTTGGACTGATATATTTATACTGTCCTGTCCACAAAGCTTTCATTATTACTCCAAACTCTTCAGCCACTTCACCTTTATGCCCCAGGAAATTGGACCTATACAATTAAAAAGATTTGATAAAAACAAAAAAGCTGTTAGTCTGAGTTGAAATTTCTTCCTACTTTTATGCTATAATTTAAATATTCAATACTGGTCCGATGGAAGGTATCGCTACTCCCAGCTTGTTATGCCAGTTGCTATGTAAGTGTACTGCAATCAGCTAAAAACAACCAACGCTTATCTATGAACGCACTTAGCAGAATTTAGTTCAGACTGCCCAGTAAAGCCTATTCTGGCCCACAGCTGAATTCTGAGAAATCTCTGGAAAAAATCTCCAGCTCTATTAATCTGACTTTACAATTGTTAATTAAAAAAATCACTTATTATCCTTCATTTGTAAATAAAAGCATGAGAATATGAGGTTGTTACCTGTTAATATCATCATGATACAAGTTTCTGTTAAAGTACTCAGCCAGGTGAGGTGCGTTGCACAGACACTGTAGTATGGAGTTCATATAGCAAGTGTTCCCTAGATTACGAAGTCCTGTAAGAGCTGGTCCCGATCCCCCAAACACAGGATTAAGGTTCCTAATCTGTGATGCAGAGAGTCTTGAAATTTCTGTTTTAGGGTAATAGACTGGTCTGTAAAGAAGGATTTATTTATTTATTTTTTAGCAGTCTGACAGTTGACAAAACCAGGCACATAATCCACCAGAACCACCTTCCCTCACAGGTGGCGAAACATCCGAGCGCAAGGTCCCCCCAATGACATCACTTAGGGTGCTGAAGACAAGTTAATGAAACAGTGACGAACCTACATATGCTGGCCTGTAATTGGGCCGAGGTATGGGCTAAGTCAGCATTTATTAATTTAAATTTACTATATAATTAACAGCTAATTCTTCACGTTTAAAAATTAAACACACTATTTCACGGACTGAAAATGCCAGAAGACTGGCATTTAATGCGTTAACACAAATGCCAATACCTAAAAAGCAATTGTCATCCAATGATACTGTGATCCGTGAAATTCATGTTAATAAATAATTACATGAACTCTCAAAAGATATCTGCCCATGCATTAAAGTCTACAAAGAAAAACTCTCTTGTATTCTTTCAAGTCTACTTAGAAAATACAGATTTCAGTGAGTTAAAGGCAAAATCGTCCTATATGCTATAATTGCCTAAGTTGGGATGTAAGTTATCAAACATACTTATTTTCACGATTGACTGCAGGAGTTACAGGAATTCTTTTCTTCTCTTCCTCCTGAATGGCTTGGGTTATATCTGGGGACGAGTAGGAGCGCTTCAGTTTGGAGTGTTCTCGTTCCCGCTCAGCAGCCAGCTGTGGCTTGGGTTTGCGGGTTGGTGGAGTAGCTGGAGGCGTGGACGAGGGAGCCATTTCTGGTGGGTACATCTCAACAGTGTTTGTTGGCGAGTGATAGTAACGAAAGGTTCCAGTGATTGGATCCAGAAACTTTGGGAGGGAAAAAAAGAGATCTATTATGAAGCCTATCCATTTATGAAGCGCTGCAGGAACAATACATGAGTTTCTTAAGCACTAAGGAGCAGTAGTCCTCAATACTTAACGGATTAAATGTGATGGTACCACTTGTGAATGTGAAGGTACCACTTTCACCAACATGCATTTAAACAGAAACTCCTTAGTACTACAATCAGCTCATGAGCTTCCCTGATTTCATTACAGAAAATTCAGAAAAAAATTGGAAAACAACTGCATGTGGAAACTAAAGAGACAAAAATAAAGATCTGACTTAGAAATGTGACAACTGAAAAGCATTGGGATATTGCAGAAGCAGCTTGGTTATGACATCAGAATAGAAAGTTACCTTTACCCAACCTTCAGGCAGTCCTGGTATTATCCTCCCCATTTCTTCACTTCGGGCTCTGATCAATGGCTCCCGCTGAGACTAATAAAAACAGGAGAAATGTAAGGCATGTACAGTTACCTCCACAGCAGCAAGCTGCTTGTGATTTCCCCATGTAGTTGCATGATTCAATGCAAAACTGTTCAATAAGAAATCCTTCATTGTAGCTGAAAACACAACTCACTGTAGGACATAAAAATGGCAAATAGTACTGCCATTTCATACCACTCAGCCTAGACAAAAGCCATATGCTGACATGCTCCAGGAAAAAGAAAAGACAATTCAGCTTTGCAATAACCTGGCTACTCCATTCCTCCCCTAGTGAAGCCACTTTGTTAGAAATACGTGCTTTTGTTAAACACACAGCGAAGATCTTTTCTTCCTTCCCAGTTAATATGCAACAGAATACACATGAGATGACAAATGAGTGTGGAACACTTGTTAATGCCATCAGAAGCATGTGAAAATTTCTAATGACAGTCTCACAATTTTTTTGCAGATGAATATGACAAAATAAAAGAAACTCTAACAGCTATGAACACAGCACAGTCTTTTCTTAAGATTATGACTTTGAAAATTAAAGTGAGGTAGAATTTAACATGAAATAACAATCACAAAGCATCTGCACTTGCTTGTTTTTGGCTACATGAAACACAGTGTATTTACTTTAAGTCTTTCAGTATCTTGTTCAGAATCCTCTCTAAGGGGTCCTGGCTTTTGAGCTCCACTGTCTGGTTGTCCTTTAACCTCAGTTTGCTGTAAAAGATTTTGAGAGAAGGCTTTCAATTTTCATCTAGGCTGTCAGTAAAGAAGGCTGATAAAGCAAAATAGGGAAGAAGCAAAATTAAATTTTCTTTTCTCATTGCTGTTAAATGAAGTCATTGCAGCAGCTATCTACACATCACTTTTTGTATTACTAGCCTATACAGTGATTTTTTGGAATAGCCTTTGTAACTGAATGTTGTGTTATGTAAGACAGACTTAGTACTTTCAAGAGCTTAGGTTCCACATGCTCTATTTTCCCCATTAAAAGCTGTGGGGTTGTTACTTTGTTTTTAAATAAAGACTTTTTCCTCACTTTTGTTTGTACTTTTCTCTGCGATAAAGCCTCTCCCTGAATAGATAAAGCATAAATCCAAGATTATGAATTTCTTTTATTATGGCCAGATTTCAGGATTACGTGAAGTCGCCCTGTCAGTAAAACAAAAGTTCAAGAATGACTGTGCTGAGGTTGTCCGGGACATTTTGGCTCCTTTGAGCGCTTCCATTACACAAACAATTGCTAAGGGAGAAAGAAATACCCCAATACATCTTCTTGAGAAATGTTTTTGAAGGCATCAGTTTCAGTAAGCTAACTTCATAAATGGTTCCTTTCTCAGGATCATATCATTCTTTCACAATCAAAATGAAATTCCGCAAATTTTTCATGAGTTGGAGGAAAGAAGAAAACATAACCCCCCCAAGAGCTGGAACTGGGCTGTTCTCAGCAAAAACAATAGATTAGTGCTTACTTCACTTCCAGTACTAACAAAATCCTTTACATCACTGTTCATGCAGCTGGGGGCACTATAGAGTTTGTTGTGGTAACGTGATTCTGTCCTAAGAATTTGTTACTCCATTATAGTGTATGTTACTAGAGTGGTGTGAGGGAAAGTGCTGCCATGGCTCAGGACTTGAAACAGAGGATGGCAGACTGTGAACCATCCATTCTACCTTCATGATGTAATTTTTATGATCTTATGGAGACTCCACACTGCCCACCTACAAGGAAGAACTGAGCCAGTTTAAGCTGTCCCGTGAAACTATTTGATTCTTGGTTTCAACTTTCTCCTGTACGTTTATGTAAAAACAGGCCTAAAAAAAAAAGCAGGCCTAAATAAGATTCCAATAGTGTATATATTTAAGATTCACACTGGCTATCTCACTTCAGAAGGCACTGCAATCATCCCAAACATTCCACACACTGCTTTTCACTGACCTTGCTTGGAGATGCATCACCCAGTGCACGTCTCTGCGTATCTGGTGTTCGAGTGCCCTTTTCTCTTCTTTCTACAGATATCTTGTCAGTCTCAACCTTTGTTGCATCAATGCCTTCTAGTTCATTTTTATTTTGCTTTTTTGCTTCTATTGCTTCTTTGCGTGCTTTTTCTTTTTCCTTCTCCTCCTGTTCTCTTTTTATCTGCTCGTCTCTCTCCTTCTGTTCCCTCTCCTCTTTGGATTGCTTTTCTTTGTGTTCCTTTTCTCTCTGTTCTTCCTTTGCCTTTTGCTCTTGTTCTTCCTTTTCTCGCTTGAGTCTCTCTTTTTGTTCTTCCTTCTGCCTCTCCCGCAGTTCTTTTTCTCGTTTGTTTTTCTCCATCAGGGCAGCAGTTTCTGCGTGCACACGGCTTTTTTCTTCTTCTGTTAGAACACTCTTAGCATCAAGTAATGGCTTTGTGGACCGGTCTGGAACCACACGGCCATTCTCAATAGGTTGGCTGTCACTGGGCGTACTTTCGGGTTTTGGTTTATCATCATCAGGTATTTTTATGGAAGGCTTTTTAGAACGATCAACCTGTAACAGAACAGCACAGGAGAACAATTCACTACAGCTACTGGTGCTCTCTTGGCTGGACTTCTAAGTCAGATGTATAAAAGAATAAAGATCATAAAAAGTTGATATCTGCCAGACAGAGAATCAACCTTCAATTTCCAGTAGATCTGGTAATTCAGATGCTTTTTAGTAAAATCAGCTATTCATTTCACTTCCAGATGTGAGGTAAGAGTCAACAAGCCCTAAAGAACCATAAGCACAGCATTAAGCACTGCATTAAGCACTGCATTACTGCAATTTGGGTCTTTATTCTTGAGCTTTCAAAGGTGAATGTTTTAGGGCAATCAGGCAGCCTAATTTGTGCATGGCTCTCAATCACATGCTCTGTCACCTAATTAGGGCAGGTGTGCCTGATGGAAGAGGTATTTAAGACTGACTTCTGCTCAAGGAGGAGAGCAGGTTGCTTTAATGCCAGAAGTTCTGAAAGAACGAGGACTAGTCTAGTTCAAGGAAGAAAATAAATAAGGTCTTTGTTAACTGAAATCTATGTTAAAGGAATTATCTAAAAAGGCAAAGAGTTTGGTATTTTTAGCCTTGTCTGCCAAAGAAAGTAAATTATTTTAGTGTAAGCGCTCTACAAAGGTGTTTTTAGGAAGTTCCATATCCATGAGAGGAAGAAACAAGTTTCCATGTTTTCACACTAGACAAGGAGATACATACCACCTAAGTGTTCTGCTGTTTGAAGGAAGATACAGTGGCTGGAAAGGAGAGCTTTGGAGTAGCCAAGGTAAGTCATGGTTTAACTGCCCTTCCTGTTTCATCATCTGTGTGTTTTGATTAGAAAAGCTTACTTATGGACTTTCTGAATTAATGAGCAACTGCTGACTTTTACTTTCTGCTATGTTTATATAGAAATCCTCAGCAAAAACTCAGAAATTGCATCAAGTATATTCAGCTTCATAAAGTTCTGTGGATTATTCACTATGGCTTCACAAACTTCTAATAGTCTCTACACTGATGTTCTTGTTTTCAAGGCTTAAACAAATACCAAGAACATCTCTCTGTGGATTTAGGCTTCTGCTTGTGATAGATTAACCTTGTACTAAATTTGAAAGAAAGGAGCACAGCTTACCTCAGGGATATTTCTTGTAATCGATGCTGGATTAACTACAAATGAGCTGTTGGGTTTTGGAACAGTAGCACCTTCTATACTTGGTCTGTTCAGTGATTTTAATCTCTCTTCCAAATTAGCTCCTGTTTCTTCATTTTCGACCACTTCTGTTGGAGAAGGCTTTATAGGGGCTACAGGTGGAGCAGGAGCTGGCTCTTCCAGAGATGGATATGTAAAATCCACTGGGATAGAAGGGAGAAAATACAAGAGACAGCTCTTACAACAAAGTAATTGTCAAGTTCCACCAGGCCCTTAAATTAAGATTTAGAGATGTAGCCCAAGGCAAGGCCATCTTAAACACAACTGAATGATGTTACGTACATTAGTTACAGACATCTTGATACTTACAAGACACAGTTAGTGCTTCACTCCTGCCATGCTGGGGTGGAGTTACTTTAGCATTTGTTGTGTACTGGGGAAAGCAGAGGAGCCAGTTTTCATAGCCTCCTTCTAGAACCAAAGGTTCATTCCGCAGTATAGTTTTGCTTTCCCACTGTAAGGAAAAAAAAAAGTTTGAAATTAAATAATCCATAGTGTGGAAGCTTTTCAATCTTAACTATGTTGTTGAAGTTTCTATTTCAAGTCATTAAAATAAGAAGTTACTTTTGAGATTTTTAGATAAGAATTAAACTGGCTGCAAAACCACTTTGGGGAAGAGTCTGGAGAACTCCCAGCATTGAAGTTCCTGTCTCTACCTGTAACAGGGCCCACATATTTCCAACACAGACCCACTTATTCAAGTGACAATCCTCTGTGCAGAAAAATATTTTTATTGGAACATTTACTTCAGCATTTTATCTAGCAAGCTTGCTCAGTGATTAGGGGTGCTGGTAAGCATCGTGTTAACTTTCTGAAAAGCCCTTCAGAGTTCAGGCTCCATTCAGCCTCCTCCCGAGGCCTTTAGTATCGAAGGATATTGAAGAACGTGAACAAGGCACAGAGGTTAGGAACTATTCTGTAAAGCAGTAAACAGGGAGAACTGCCTGAACTATGTTTGTACTTAAAGTCTACCAGCTAACTGTTGGGGAGTTGAATCATTCTGCTCCTTGCAGTGTATACATATTATATATAATAATTCTAAAAGTAGAATTATTTCTACTACTACAGCATAAGCGGGGGGAAGTAAAGCCTCAGTCCATGCTTCTATTAAAATAAGCAGTCTTTGAAAACAGAACCAACATGTTTACCTAGAATGTCATTGTCATTCATATACTTTGCAATTATAGGTGATTTAAGACCTCCTTATTTATTGAGATGAAATAATATAAAATATGAAACTTGCCAACCTTAAAAAGTGCATCTTTCAGACTCCTAAGAGTTGTTCCTAGCTTTAAGTCTTCTGCAGAACTAAACCAGTCCAGCAGTACAACATAATCAAAGTGTCCTCTCTTCTTCCATGGATCTTTAGAATCCTCTGGGAGTCTAGCTTCAATCCAACTAGCAGTAACTCTGAAATGTATCAATATGCATTTAAATGACAGATGCACAAGCAACGCTTTGTCCAACAATACACAAACATGTATATTTATGTGCTTGGATAAAATATATGCTCTCTGTATTTAAACTGGTATATGCAAGAACAGAGTCCAGATAGATGTCAACAATTCGTATGTATCAGGGACCCTGAAACTAAAGTGTAAGAGCTGTAAAAGTATATGATCTCTCTAATGTAGAGCTAGGTTTTTTTGTTTTTAAGAGACTGCAAGAAACACTCATTCAGAGAAATTAAATGTTTCATTGTCATTTAACATTATTCCATACCCAGGACTGATAGCTTCTTCTGGGACACTGACAGATCTTGGAATACAGGACTCCTGGTAGTCCTTCAAGCTCCGAGCATCCATTATAATCAATTCAATGCTTTTGTCTGTCATCATTGCGAACAGTTTCTCAGCTGTGACTGCTCCTTGAAATACAAAAGCTGTTAGATGCTAAAAGCTACAATGTAAATGGAGATAGCTATCATCACTTCTGGAGTAATCAAGACTGCAAACAGATGACACAGAACAGAAAAGCGTATAGAATATGTTAACACACGTTCTTCCAACAAAGCCATGGAGCTGAGACACTGCAGAGCAGATTGATTCTTTTGCTACCACTACTGTAGTGATTAACAGCTAACCTGCTGAATTTGACAATACTGGATGTTTGGTGATAAATGAGTTTAATTTGTCACAGTCTCATCTAAAACAAGCTATATAGGCAAGCACTCATGAGCTACATACTGCAGATGCTCTCTAGAGTTCTCAGCTGAAGAGGAACATTTTCACATTTATTACAAGAAAAAAAAAACAGCGGACTGGGACAGGCAGGGGGAATTTCTTATTTAACTGAAAAAGCTAACGTGATTCAGCCTTGCCTAGATTTTTTTCATATCAGTTGAAAAGACATTTTTTGTTTGATCACTCTAGTTATTAAACTAAAAAAACCCAAACAAAACAAACCTCAGGTCAGCTTTCTAAGTACAAGAAAAGTAATGAAGATGTAAATACAGAGCTTTATCACTAAGTTGCTATTACTGAAATACAGGATAGCAAAATTTTATCCAAATATTCTGACAGTTAAATAACTTTAAAGGACTGCAGCAGTAAAAGCAATAGTGCATAGGTGTATGGAGACTTTTTTCACGCCTGTGTAAACATTCTCTTACCACTAAAACTCTCAGTCTGATCCTTTCTTTCCAGTGAATGCTTCGTCTCACCATTGATCTGTGTTGTTAAGGAGGGGGAAAAAAAACAGTAAGTTAAATTAAGACCTACTTAAACTGGTCAAACTATGCCACAGGAAGAAGTCTAGCAAAAGGAAATTTCTTTACAAGTCTGTCTTAAGCAAGACTTCAAGGTTGCTAGGACTCAACCTTTTGAGCTTTCCTTGGGAAGGTAGTGGGGAGCATAAATTAATTAAACAAAAACAACCCACATCAAAACAATGCGGTATGATTCTGAGCTGGAGATAGCTAATAAATATCAAACAGTAGATTAAAGCTATAACTGAACTAGAGAATTTGCAGATATCTTCAATTACCCTTTGGCTTTTTCCTTTGCAATCTGCTGTAGTTTCTGATGAGCTTTTGGCTGAACTCTTTCCATCATCTTTTGGTTCTTGCTTGTTCTGCAGCTCTTGTCTGTCCCTTTCTTCAAGTTTTTTCCGTACTTCAGCTTCCTCATATCTGTGAAAACAAAAGTGTGTTGTGTTATTTTTCCCCTCTCCTGTATCATAATATATATATATAGTAAGCTAGCCTTAGTTAATTACCACCAGCAATAGCAAGCCCTGGGGAGGATGGGTGAAATACTCCCCAACACCCACTCCTTTCAACAAACCCCCATTCTCCTCCATGACTGCATGTACTGTTTTTCCTGCTCTTGGGATGACTTTCTTATTCTATTCCACAGCCATTACTCTTAAACCTTACAGTTTATTCCTTAAACTCACTGTCACTCAATGCAATAGGTTCTTCATTTCATAGAAACAGGAGTAGAAACTGGTCACTTGCAGGTAAACTTCCATATACTATAACAGTCACCCAAGGTACTTAATGTGGTTTTGCAACAGAGCAGATAACAGTAATAGTTAGAAAGTTATCTCAGTTCTCTGAACTTCCTTTTTTTGAGGAGTTGGATCAGAACTACCTGTATAGCAGCAGTCATTGTTAGGGTGTAAGTTGATATAACAATTCTGCTATGCCCTAACCATTTCCCCTGCTCTTTATTTCAAATTCTGAGACTACAGCGACATCTATGCAAGAATCACATGCAAATTTTTTTGTGAACTTAAGTCTTGCATATAGAAGGTGTTCCTTTCAGCCTTGAAAGTTAACCTTCCAGCCATTTGCCTTTGTAAGGACAATCACAGAACCATAAACCACAGCTTTTAGATCAACTTCAGGCTTTTATAGTCACAATGTTGTTAAGAGAGCATTCTATTATATCAACACAACTGAGATGAGGGTTACTAGTGTTCCACAAAACAGAAAGTGTTTGGAACTAACAATCTTGATGACTGTAACAATCTTGATGACTGAGCCATACGGTAAGGCGTATTTGGTCCCAGAGGACTGTGATGAAAATGAGGAGGAAAAGGTCCTGATTTGCCCTAACATACATACAGTTTATCTTATGGTTTCTTTTTGAGTTGCTAAACAAAACTAGGAAACGCTATCAATAAATCATAGTCACCAAGAATTGTAACACAAACAGTGGCAAGTTACTGGAATACATGATGACAAAAAATAATCCATAAAAGCATGCTATTGTAGACAAATTATTTAAGCTGTCAGTAATTTCAGGTATCTAGGTGATACTGCAAGCACAATCCTCTACTACTATATAGCAATGAAAGCCTGAAACTGCATGCATAGGCTTCAGGTTTATTGAACAATATCATCCATTGTATTCACATACCTGAGTTTAAGGCTGTCTGAGAGTCTTTCAGCTTCTTCAATAGCTTTTTTTATATTTGTAGGCCCAAGAATGGAATGGAAATAATCCTAGAATTACAAGCATTAGCCCACATATTAACAGTACAACTTAATGATGCCTACTTCTGTGCATATCAAGAATAGCTAATCTATAGAAAAACTGTATTGTAAGGATGATAATGCCAATGAAAGGTATGGTTTTGAGTAAAATATGAGTTGGTAAATAACACTGATCTATAGCACTAATACTAACAAGGCACTTCTGCTAAGTAAAACACGAGCTTAGTTGCAGAAGTAAAAGCAAAAATGCACATTCATGCATTTTCAGTGAAGGAGACTTGAATAAAAGAAACACACTCCACAATCCCCAACTCCTTAGTACTGTCCCAAAAGATGTTGGAATGGAAAAGATGAGAGGATTAGCTTTCCATAAGTTGCATAAATAGATGTGAATATTTTTTATGTGTAAATGATAAGAGCAAACTACAAAAGCAATTAAGAAAAAGCCTTGTCAAAAATAGGAAGGAGAAATGTCAGTGTATGTGAGGCAAGTATCAGTGTAATCCTTTGAATGTGTGTAAGTATAATTTTCTGTACTTCTAGAATTACCACTAATGCAGAAAAGGTTAGACAGAAGGTTTTTATACCTGTTGCTGCTTAAAATCAGGTCTCTTTTTAATAAAATTATAAACAGCCACATATTTCATATACAGGATATAAGCTTTTTCTTCATCTCGGTCCAATCTGCTTTCTTCTGCGGCTTTGAAAATCTTAAGGGCGCTCTGCACATAACTGAAATCAAAGAAGAGGTGTAAGGCACGTGATTGTTGGCTTGTCTCCAAACACCATTTAATTCAAAGATACCATCTTAAGTGTTCACAGCCTCTGCCCATATATTGTTTGGTTTTTACCATCATAATACAAAGACCTCACTAAATATGAATTAGAATCGGGCTCCCTCTAAGTGATGTTTCTCTTTGCCAGTTTGTTCTCTAGCCTCATTTAAAGTCTTCTGTATTGAAAGAGCATGCTGTGATATGGGAAAAAAGTACTTTTAAAAAAATATTTTGCCAAATACATAAGGAAACAATCTAACCTGCATAGGTATCAAAATTCTATTTACTACGTGCTCCTGAGAGATGTATTTTGTAAAGTTAATTCCAAATCACTTAAAACATAGATACCTCTTTGTACTGGTCTTTTCAGGTTTTATTTCTGTCTTCTTGTTGAGATCTTTCAATGAAGTACAGAGATACAGCTCCTTAGGTACAGATGCCACAGCAGGCATGTTAATGTTGTTATTTACCTCCTTTCTTACAAGATTCTACCAGTAGTTTTCTAGAAAAAAAAAGAAAAAAAAGCCCAATTATACTTAAGTATTTTAATACAGTTACTATAGTGAACTGTATGTGGTTATTGCCTAATCTAGCTCATGTTACATCAATCAACAGAAATATAAAACAACCTGGAATGCACAGTTAAAGTGTAAATTATAATTAATGATTCTAAATGTGAATTAAGCATAGGCAATCACTTGCAGCTCCAACGGTTGATCTGGCCCACTACAACCTGGTGACATGTTACTCTAATATGCTGGCACCTATGTCTTTGGCATTTAATCTACATAACTGCTTTATAACCCGCATTTCTTATAGAAATATGCTGCTATTTAAACAAACAAACAAAATCTGATTCTTACTCTGGACAATCATTTCTAGCACAAAGCGTGAGTGAAAAACAATTCCAGGAGTATAAATAAATAGGTAAGAATCATAGAATCACAGAACAGCTTGGGTGGGAAGGGACCCTACAGCCCTGTAGCCCCAATCTCTGCCGTGGGCTGTGCTCCCCTCAGCTTAGCTCCCAGGGCCGCCCAGCCTGGCCTTGGGCACCTCCAGGGATGGGGCACCCATCGCTCTGGGCAGCCCACGCCCGGGCCTCGCTGCCCTCTGAGTGAAGAGCTTCTCCCTCACATCTAACCTCAGTCTCCCCTCTTCTAGTTTAAAACCATCTTCCCTTGTCTTGTCACTACCAGACCGTGTAAGAAGTTGCTCCCCCTGCTGCCTGTAAGCGCCCTTGAGGCACAGGAAGGCTGCAGCGAGGTCTCTGTGGAGCGTTCTCCCCTCCAGGCTGAAGGAGCCCTGTTCCCTCCTACACCCAAACCTTCCTTGCCAAGAGGGGAATAACGTTTAAATTGCAACTATTTAAATGTTAATCATTCATAACAGTCCTTCTATCTATTGCATGTATTATTCATGCAAGACTGGCTGAATAGGTAACAATATAAATTAATCTTTCTCAATTGATAGAACTATTTGAAACAATGCTAGGTAACTTGTCAAGAATACAAGCAGAAGAATAAGGAAAAGGAGGAGGAAGAAAATGCTGACTTAAGAATGTTCAAACTCATCTATCCAGCAAGTTTATTCAACTATAAAGCCAGTAAATATATTTTCAGAAACCATCTGGCCTATCTGTACCATGAAATTTGTGCTGGATACTCATCATATGATGAGCCTAACACTGACCTCTGCACGCAGATGCTCTACCAATGGCAAGGTGACTCATTATGCCTTGATAAGACACAGAAAGGTTAAAGCAGACCGAAGTCTGCTCAAAACATCTTGGTCATGCTGAAGGTGTTGAACTTCCAGGTACAGCTGCTTTCTGTGGCCTCTAGGAAGTACTCCCAGGCAATGGCTACACACGTAAGCAGAATGGCCAGAAGAGAGTGTTAAATCTTCTCACCTGACATTCTGTGCGTAGCAGTCACAAAATCACAGAACTGCAGGGGCTGGAAGGGACCTCAAGAAATCCTGGAGTCCAACCCCCTGCTAAAGCAGGTTCTCTATAACAGGTTGCAAAGGTCAATGTCCAGATAGGGCTTGAATATTTCCACAGAAGGAGACTCTACCACCTCTTTGGGCAGCCTGATCCAGTGTTCCATCACCCTTAGTGTAAAGAAGTTCTGCACGCTTGTATGGAACTTCTTGTGTTCAAGTTTTAGGCTATTACTCCTTCTCCTATCACTACAAACTACTAAAAAGAGCCTGGCCTCATCCATTTGTCCCCCACTTCCCTTTAGATACATACAAACATTAATCAGATCCTCCCCTCATCTCTTCTTCAGGCTCAACAGACCCAGGTCTCTCAGCCTTCCCTCACAGAGTGATGCTCCAGGCCCTCAAACATCTTTGTGTCCTTCTGCTGGACTCCTCCTAGGAGATCCATGTCTTTTTCAAACTGAAGAGCCCAGAACTGGACACAGTCCACTAAGTCTCATGCAGGCAGTCTAACTACAATCTTTGCATATCTATACAGGAAGCTATTTTAGCCCTTGTGGATGGCAGGGGAAGAGGATGGCCTTCCCATGGCACACCATGCTAGGTAACACAGTGTTGAGACACAGATGCTGCCCGTGCTAACTTTCCAATTACAAAGCATTTGTCCACACTTAAAACCCTTGTCAAAAATTCTTCCTTAGGAGATTGCATTCCATATAATTCTAGGAAGTAAATGATAAAATCCTCAAATACTAATTTTAGCACATCAAATTAATCCATCCTATGCCCCATGCATCTTCCCTATCCCCTATGACGTGCCTATGCTTAGCTTTAACTTTCAGGAGGTATTTAGTTGCTGAAAACAAAGCAGACAACTAATCAAAAGTTCTATATTCAGTAGAAATGAAACAAAGCACATTCAACTGCTAACTAAAGGACCTTCCCAATCTAAACACATTTTTTGTCTAAAGCAAAGATGTACCCATTTTTTAAATAATCTTGCAGACTTACAAGGAAAGGCTTCACTTGTGCTAAGATCTTAGCTCTGCACGTCTAATCCTACCTTCAAAACACGTATTTAACTGGCAACCTCGAACTGCAAATAGACTTTTTCTTTGAAGCTCTAAGTCCTTTCTAAATATATCTTCAATGTTTGCTGTTATGTAATTGGTATTTTCTTAATCTTAAGTAGCAAAATTTGGCTGAGTTCTGTCAGAATATAACTAAATAAATCTTCTGAAAAAGATGTGAACTTAACATTACTGTATATGAGGAAAAAACAAGACTGTGGAAGATGAGAGCCACTTAATGATAGGCAGAAGATGCCTGCAAAATTTTCAGCGTTGCTGACACACCTTGATAATGCAGCTCTTCTGGAACCTCATTTCTACAAATGCAGAATGAATGGATAGGAGATGCATCTGAGTTCTGGCTGAGAACAAAAACTGTCTTTCCATATTTTCCCACTCTTATTAACTAGAGTTATAACTAAAGGTTTTTAAATTGCCAAACACAATACTAAACTTACTTTTATTTCCTCACCTGGAGAAACTTTTACACCTTTTTCAGAAGATGAGCAGCTCCCCACAGCAGCTGATGGATGTGGTATTACTCTTTGACCTGCCAAAGCTCTGTAACTCATACATCATGCTGCAGTAAAATGAGTTTAGGATGGATTAGAAATAATACTTTCAGGAAGGGGGGGGGGGAGGAGGGAATCAAGTTCTCAACAGCCTACTTAATGGAATTACATGCAGCATGTATCAGATGTTAATATAAGTTTTTAATTACAGCTTCTAATTCATTCTTCTCTGTGGAAGAAAAGTTAGCTCCTTAACTGCCCACTATCAGGGCTGGCTGTTCAGACAGACCCTTAAAACTCCTCAGGCTTCTCCTGCAGTTCAATGCATGCTTGTACCTTTCTCGTTATATTATTTTTCAAAGCAGTTACCAGTCTGTGAGCTGATGGAGATTCACAAAGATAAACTTTTCAATGTTGCTCAAGTTGCTGAGGACCCTAACAACAGAACCTGAATGAACACATCTCTGAGACAGCCAGAGCTAGTGACCAACAAAGGCCTCCCACTCACAGTGACGCTGATCCAAACTAAAGTTTGTGTTATTCTTAAAAAAAAAAGTAGCAATAGGAAAATAATAACCAGCTGTTTCGGGGAGCATATCTGGGTCTCTTCTCTATTATTCAATACTGGGAAAAATAATGATCCAGTGCAATAGCATTCTTAATTACATTAGGCTTCTTTTCGATTGCAACATCTATTAAAATTGTGACACAGTAACAACCAGGCAGTATCTTCCTGTAGGTTAAGTAGAAGATGACCTCTTAGCAGCTTTTTAGCAGAAACTATCTGCTGTTACCACTGTGTTTTGGGTACAATGCTGCTAGAACACAATGGTTAAAACTCAGAGATGATGCTGGGTATTCAGCTGATCCTCAGCCTGACTCCGTTCCCATGGGGGCATGAGGCATTGCTACCCACCTGGAGAGACACTGATCTGTGGTCAGGCACTTACAAATACATGGATTAGTATGCAGGAATGCAGACAAGGGGTACCATACTTTCGTCAGTCGTTGTCTCCTCCACAAAAGAAGCAAAGAGGAAACAAAAAGTGGCAATTTTTGCAAATGGACATGAGTGTACTTTTATTGCATTGTATAGAATATCATATAGGATTCTATAAGCTCTTACTACTTATACTCTCCAGAAGTTTTCCCAAGTATTCCTTTTGTCCACTGTATCTTATCTTTTTATCTATCTATACTATCATCAATTCCCCTATAAGAATAGTTCTGAAGTCAAATGCTGCTGCTCTTTACCAATAATTCACTTCCATTTAAGGAAAACTTTTCCTTGGCCTGATATTTTATGTTTGCAAAGAATTTAGGATTTCAGAATCATAATCAACTCCTTCATACAAAAACATAACCTGCTGATTTTGAACCTTGGTGTTCACAGATCAGATTCCTAACTGACCTGTTCTCTATGCTCTGTCCAGCAAAATAATTGCAAAAAGAAAGGAGAAACGTGTCTAGGAATAGTTAACAGCAGTGAAACACCTGGAGATTGCACCAGAACTTGGTGTAGGTGTGTTTGATCCCACTACAAGAGTTACAATGAACAGTACTTTCTTATCTGAACTGCATGAATTTTATCAGAATACACTCTTGCTGGGCTAGCACATATTGACTAGTCTCGCTTTTGCCTTCCACTGCCCTCCACGCTTACAGTCACTGCATCAATACAACACTGAGGAATGAACCTTTCATATACCTATGAGAAGTGAGAACATCTCCTTATTCAATAAGAAAACAAACCTGGATGATAAAATTGTAAATAAAACAAGGGACTGAAGAAGCCATGACAGCTACATTCACTATTAGTCAACTCTGTGAGGAAGAGCAACCAACCTATTTCAGGTTTGCCAACTATTTTCCTTAAAAATGAAGATTAGACAAAACCATGGATCTATTCCCAGCTGAAGCTCGGGCCCCTTGTTCAGTCTCAGGAAAGCTAAAAATGAGGCCAACATCCCAAAAATATAATGGTAATCATGTTTGGGTATGTAGGGACGTTTAGAATACTTAAAACGAATATTTTTACATGGACGGGGGAAGCATACCTCTTGGTAACAGGTTTTTCTACCTCTAATTACCATGCCTGCTTTACTACGGATGTGAGTAAGCTTTAAGTGGAATGACAGCAGCAAGAGCGACGCGCAGAAGCAGTTACACTGCAGGCAGTGCACCGAGCCGCGGACTGGGAGAAGTGCTGGTGTTCTCTGTGAGGTCCTGAACTTCCATGCAGACTCCTATGCTCCCGCAGGCCTCAGCTCTGCAGTGTGGTGTGCAGAGGCGGCATAGGGCCTGGTGCTCACACCCAGCACCCCAACTGCTGTCCCTTGGCCGTGCCGCCCGGCAGGGTGTCACAGGGGTGCCTGTGGCCTGGCAGCACAGCAGTGCGCAGGAACAGCTCCTTCTGGGGAACTGAAAGGATTTCGCAGTATGCTCAGCGTTTAATGGAGGGAGGAGGGGAGGAAGGCACTATGAAGTTAACTTAAAAACAAAGAAGTTAGGTTTTATATATTCAGCTTGAAAGTTCTTCAACCTTAGTAAAAACAGACGCATCTTCATGCCCTTAGATACCGAATTCCGGCCTGCGAGCAGCCCGTGCCATGGCGGTGACGGAGGCTCGCTGACGGAGGCTCGGCCCCGGCTCCCGCAGCGGCTCACCCCGCACGGAGGCCCGGCCCGCAGCAACCCGTGACGCCGCACCGCCCTGACAGCGCCTCTCCGGCCGCCCCTCCGCCCGTTCCCGGCCCCTCACGCCTCGGCCGGGGACTGCGGCCGCCCAAGGTCACCGCGGGGCTGAGCGCTGGGGCCCCCCGCCCGCTCCTTTCCCTCCGCTCGGCCCGGCCCCGCACCCCGCCGCCCCCCGAGAGCCGCCCCCCCCGCCCCGCTCCGCACGGCGGGCCCGCGGCCCCCTCCAAGGGCGCCCGCCGCAGCCGGAGAACGGCGCGTAGCGGTGCCCGCGGCGGCCCGGCCCGTACTCACCGCCGCGGGGACGCGCTGCCTCAGCCCGCCGGCCCGGGCCAGGCCCATGTCCGAACGCGGCTGCCGAGGAGACGCTACGCGGCCATGGCTGCTGAGGCGGAACTCGGCGGCGATCTTCCCTTCTCCCCTCCCTCTCTCCCTTCCTCCCTCTCTCCCTCCCTGCCGGTCCTCGCTCCCCCGCGGAGGCGGGGACTCTCCGCGGTCCTATCGGGGCGGCGAGGTGCGCTGTGGCTGCGGCCCCGCCTGGCCCCGCGCTGCCCGGGCCGCCCAGAGGCAGCGGAGGGCTGAGGAGCGGCCCGCGTCGGTGTGCGGGTGGAATAGGATCGGGGGGCCGAGTGCGTGCTGGAGGGTCTGTGCTTGTACGCAGGGGAAAAAGAGGCAGCGGCCCTGGCACCATCCTGCGCTGCAGTCCTCTGCAGAATAAAGCCTGCAAAAGACAGATCGTCTCCTTTAGGAAAGTCAGGCGGCTGTGAAACCACCGTGACGGCGGAGAGGATGGGAAAGGTGATGCTGAGTCCACGGTGGCTGCTGTCACAGAACCACAGAATGGCTTGAGTTGGAAGGGACCCAAGGATCATCAAGTTCCAAGCCTCTGCCAAGGCAGGGCCACATGCCTCCTCATCTGGTACCACACCAGGCTGCCCAGGGCCCCATCCTGCCTGGCCTTGAACACCCCCAGGGATGAAGCATCCACCTCTCTGGCAGCCTGTTCCAGCACCTCACCACTCCGTGAAGAACTTCACCCTGACATCCAATCTAAACCTTCCTTCCCTGAGCCTAAAACCATTCCCCCTTGTCCTATCACTGTCCTTTGGGTTCGGTCCATTTTGTTCAAAGGGACCTTTCATTGCTTCTTTTATGAAGAAATTGTATTAAAAAATCCTTTGGTTCTGCATGTACGTAGGTCACCTCAAAAGTAGTGCCTCATATTTATTGCCATGGAAACAATGACAGATACAAAGAGCACAATAACAGTTTCATACAGCAAATTCTCAGCTGCAAAACACAGTTTTTCAAGACAGCCACCACCATGAGCTGCGTGTGCGTTTTCACCAGCGCTGAATGAGAGCCTGCATGCCGCACTCCCAACAATCTGCACCAGCTGAGGTGATCCACTGTCACCACCGCTGAAATGCATCACCCACTGCCTCCCTGTGCTGATATGCTCTTTGTCAGACTGCCCCTCTGCCGCCATCTGTCGCACGACAGCAAAATGTAATGGAACATCGGCGGGAAGGTTCAACCTCCACTGTCATACCACCAACATCTGCCTCTGCCATTGTTGGGCCAACATCATAAAATAGGAGGCATTACTTTTGGAGCAGCCCTCCATGACATGTCTGTATCCGGCCATACAGAGCAGGGGGAGGACCTGCCTTACAATTAGTGCACCCCATTCAGATGCTTGTTAAAACACGCTGACACCTCCATTGCGTTATAACGAGCTGTGGAGTTGCCCGAAGTTAAAAGGCATTTTCCTACCAGCATGTTACTGTGTAGCAATAGTGCATAAATAATAGAAAAAGAATTTCAGCTGTAGGAATCAGTATGCTTTTTAATAGAACGTACCAAACTACTTAGACAAATGCCTCAAGTTTCTCTCCCACACACCTGGGTGACGTAAAGCAGAACAAACCATGCACTTCTCAGATGTGAGCTGTGCTCCAATCTGCCAGCATCAGGCGTCTCTGCCTTAAATGTAATTTTGGTGAATTCTAACAAAAATGTAACTTTTTCCTTCACTACTTCACTAAGTTGTGATCATGATAATGAAACTCGTCTGGTGGTAATGGAACTGTGACTACATGAAGAGCGAATTCTTCCCCCCAAGAGTTTTCAGCAGCACAGAATGCTGCGCTCATCCACAGTACTACAACAAATGCCACCAATGCATGCCTGTGAGGACACAGAAATGCTTTCTGTGCAAGCTGCTGCGTGATGACGACCTGCAGTGTGGTGAGAGGTGCTTGCTGAGGTGTGAAGTACGTGTCCATGATGGAAAAGAACTGCGAAGGCCGGCTCGCAGTGCCTGTGTGAATGACAAACACAGCAGCCCAGCAATGTCCAGGCTTGTTCTCCAGTGTCCCCTTGTCTACCAGCTGCATTCAGTGAGCTGGGGCAGAAATAATGCTTTTCTAAAGGCTGGTAGAAATGAAGGGAATCCAGGCAGCGTAATTATCTCTAAAACTAACAAAGGGGGAATTCGCTGACTGATACCACTTTCTGAAGGACGTAATTACGGGACTCATGCTTCACTGCAGCGCTTGCCTTCTGCTGCTCCAGCATTGCGCACCCGAGTTGAGCCAAGCTCGCAAGCGTCTCAGGGCACTGCGCACAGTCCGCAGCGCGACGCTGGGGCTCAAGGCCAGGGCTGCCCGGCTGCCCGGCTGCGGGCTCAGCGGAGCCGTCACGCACGCCAAACGCCCCGTCGGCCCCACGGCCCCCAGCCACGCTCCGGGCGCGGCAGCCCCAAAGGCGCAGCGGAGGAACGCCGGCCCCGCTCGTGGCCCCGCCTCCCCCCCAGCGCAGCGGGCCTCTCCGCGCGGCCACGGGCGGGCCCAGCCCCCGGCGGGCGGGAAGCGGCCGGAACATGGCGGCCCCTCCAGCCCGCGCTTCCCCCGCCTTTTCCCCGCGCCTCCGCGCATGCGCGGCACGCGGCGGCGAGGCCGTATCCCTCCGCCGAGCCCCTCCGGCCGCGGATTTTTGTGTAATAAGATAAATCCCGCGCCCCATGGTAAGTGCCGCGCGCCCCTCCCAGCGCCGCCTCGGGCCGCCCGCTCCGCCTCAGCCCGGGGCGCGGGGCTCGCGCTGGCGAAGGGCGTCCGGACCGCGCCCCTCCCCTCCCTCCGCCGCTGTGTCCCTCCGCCGGGCGCAGCGGGGACTTTTGTGTGGGGCTTTTGGGCGCCGATGAGCGGCGGCTTCCCGCGCCCCTGCTCCTCGTCGCGGCGGCCGGGCCGGCGGCACGGTAAGGCCTCATCCCCGCGCCCCGTCTCTCCCCCACCCCCCCGGGCCGGCCAAGCTTTTCCAGGTCAGTCTGCGCCTTTGTATAGGGCCCTGTTACCGGATGTGGAAGTTGATCTCTTCGCTGGTAAAAAATAATTCCACTTCCCCCGGAACCCGGCGCCGCGGCTCCCTCCGCAGCGCCCAGCCCAGCCAGGATTTCCTGTTGGGGAGAGCGGGCGCGCTGGCCGGCCTTCCGGGGACCCCGCCGTGCGAGGGGCGCGGGCCGCGGCGGCGGGGCCTGGGCCGCGGCGGGGCCTGGGCGGGCGGCGGGCGCGGCCTGCGG